CTATGCTATAACTGGCAAATGACTAATCGAAGACTTGAATAATTCTGTGCTTGAACTACAATCGATTGTCTGGAAGAAAAGGCGTCTAGTAACATAAATTATCTTGTTAGTCGGTGATTCAGAATTCGTAACAATTTTTTACATACTATAACTTTCCGTAGAAATTTTGAATCATCCAAAAAGAAAACTGCCCTACGAACTATGCCTTTTATCAGTAACGTAGTAAAAGTTTTTTGTCCTTATACATAAAAAAACCTAATTTTAGCAACTTAAGATAAAAAATTATTTGTATCCTGTGTATACATCGCTCTTATTACTGGCGTTTTGAAATCACATTGGAGGAAACAACTATATTATTTTAGGCCTAAGACAAACTTGACGTAATAAAGCAATAAAGTTCTCTCACAGTGTTGATTTATTTTATTTGCACTCGGAAGCGGAATCACTTCTACCAGTACAGCAACCCTTCAAGAAGCCATTGATGACAATAAAATATCTTGGAAAAGGAACTTGAAGATTGGCCTTCCTCCTACCTTCTATATTTTTAAGTTCCCCCTTTCAAAGTTTCTAATTTAAATTTAGTGTTTCGTTGCTTGTATGTTAGGCATATTATGGAATGCCTACGTAAGTTTTAGATGTCATGTGTACGTCATGAGACGGTAGAACAAACAGAATAAACAAAAGTAGCATCCCTATGTGAACCCGTGCAATGTTAATCCTGTCTATCCCACCTTAAGTAGAACAATAGCACCCATCTAGTGCATTTATAATATACCTATATTTAATAGCTTTATAAAACACATACAATGCTTAACCTGTTTACAATAATAGCATTGTTGTTTGAGATTTTTTTTTATATTTCTAGAATTTAAAAAGATGTTCAAGTGTTTAAGGACGCAAATATGTAGGCTAGTTAGCGGTAGCTTTTTTACGATGACTCCCCCTCCTGATTTTTTGGAAGGTCGTTCAGCCTACGGTGACCTCACTCACTCGTTGAAATGTAATGACAAAATTAATTAAAATAGGTTTTTGATGAGGCCTTCATATTATAAAATATCATTTATAAAATAATATTTTACTACGTTTATAATTTTTATTTCAACAGTTTGTCCTTTAAATAGAGTGCAGGTATAATAGCAGAAAAACACTAGAATTACGATAACAATTTGCAAAAATAATTTACGCTGATTTTATTTTACTGAAATAGTTAATTATTAGTATTAGGGTTCGCTCAAGTTCTATTAATAGGTCTTTAACTATGTACTTATAAATTTGTTTGAAAATGTAAAAATATAAAAATTTTGGTTATATCTTCGATAATCAAAAAACTGGCCCAAACTATCCATACAATTTTGCCATTTTGATAGCAGTTTGTTTATCCCTTTCCTTTAGAAGTCTGCTGGATAGGAGGCGATGAAGTCAGCGAAAGCGTTTTGTACTGCCTCTCGGGTATTCAATTTTTTCCTACTTAAAAATTGTCTAAATTAAAAAAAAAAGAAATCTGTTGGGGCAAGATCCGCTGAGTACGATGGGTGACGGAGAGCTACCAGCTGTAACTCTTATAGCTTTGCGATGGTCTGTCGTGAAGTGTGAACTCGCGCGTTGTCATTGAGAAGCAATGGCGAAGGGCGATGTAACCTAATTTGATATATATACTAGCTGACCCGGCAAACGTTGTTTTGCCATATACATTTTTTCATTTTTTTTGTCAAAAAATAATAATTGGTGTATTAAAAATAGATGTTGGTCGATTCTCAGACCTACCCTATATGCACACAAAATTTCACCAAAATCGGTGGAGCCGTTTCGGAGGAGTTCAACCACGCACACCGTGACACGAGAATTTTATATATTAGATATCTATTATAAAAAAATAGCTGTATCCTATCAAGTCTCGCTGTGGTACATGGTGGTGACATTCAAGAAAAATTAAGAATTAAACTAACGCTAAAAATAGATAAAAGCAACCTTTCAAGAGGATTGTATATAGTGTTTAATTTGATCTCAAAGGGTGTAGAACTTTTTGAGTTTTTGAAGAGTTATTGATAAATTACTTCGCAAGAGGTATACTAATCGTAATCATGACAGAGCGTTTTTAGAGTTCGTTATTTAAGTCATTTTTTTTTGCAAAATATCGATAAATTACATAACGTATTTGTTATGTAACTGCTTGCTGATTTGCCCCTTATTGCATAAAAAAGTTGTTATAGTACGGAACCATGACAATCCGAGAATCCGGATATTGTTGTCCAATTTGACCAATTTTGTATTCGTTTAATGAACAATCTGCGCGGATCTAATTAAGCTTTGTTTGACCACGCAATATATCGATCGCGGTACACCTCCCCAGCACGCAATACAGCTCCCGTTTTGTACAAGTAAATTAAAAAAAAAATAACACCTAGCTAGATCGATTAATCGCCCTCGAAAACCCTGCATAGTAAATTTCATGAAAAGCGTTGGAGCCGTTTCCGAAATTCAGTATTCGTATAGGGAGGCAAACAAGCAGACGGGTCACCTGACGGTAAGAGACTACCACCTACAGTGTGTTGCCGACCGTGGACCCCCCCCCCCCCCCCCCCCCCCCAATCAGTGGGGTTCGGGTTCCGGTAACCTCATACACTCAGTGAAAAGCAACGAAAGAGCAGCTTAACACCGTGTGAGGTATATTATATATTATTATATTAACCATGGCCCTCTGACGTTGGACGTGAATTTGAAAAACAATCCTCATGATCCCGAGTAAATTCTATGACTTACTTTTTTCCCTTAAGTTTCATCTCATTATCTCAAGATATTTAATGACCTCATTACAATAATTTTGATGTAGACGCTTTTACAAAGTAAGTATTGTAAATGAATTCGATAATCTGCTTACTAAGAAATGAGGTTCCGCTAAGATCGGCCTCTACAGACGTACATATTAAATACTGGCTGACCCACGCAACTTTAACTGCTCAAAAGAAATGTATTTTTCCCGTTTTTTTTGGCACATTTGGCATTAATGAACTACTGGTTCGAATTTAAAAATATTTTAGTGTTGTATACCATTTATCGAGGAAGGTTACACATTCTGGGCGTCCCGGAATTCGACATCCAGCCGAAATCGGGGGTGATAGGTCAAATCACAATAGTTAACAGAAAAAAAAAAACTTTGTAGAAACTAATTATGTTATTATCCTTTGTAAGTAACAGACTTGAGGAGGGCCTTGGAGTACAAAAAATAATTTTGGACAGGTAAGAAACCGATTCCAACTTGACGTCGACTTCTGGGACGCCCAGTATAACATCATGTTACATTCAATAAGACCGGAGCATCAATGAAAAATGTTGCAAAAAAGGGGAAAATTTATACCTTTCGAAAGGCACGGGCGAAGTTGCGTGGGTTAGCTAGTTATTTGATAAAATTAGACATCACAAAATGCGTTGGAAGAAAGAAATCTAGTGATATAGAAGAGAGAAGAAAATAATCTTACAGTTAGACGGCATAGAAAGCGAGTTGCAGAACTCAAAAGGGAAGATGAAGATGAAGATGACCTAAATAAATTGGAGATAAAAAAATATATGTATTACCTACAGAAAGAAAGAAAGAAAGAAAAGCAATTTATTCGTGAACGTACTCACAATATAAGGTAAACTTAATACTAGGCTTAAGCGAAAATACATTTTTACGTGTAGGCACCTCACGTGCCAGTCGAGTAGGACCTGGGGCTGGTTATCAACCAGACCTTTTAATGAGTGACAGAAAGATTATGATGATGTTTTGCTAATTCTTCCGAATTTCTCACGATATTTCTCGAGTCGTAGATTTTAACTAATTAAATGGATTATGCGCTTAAAACTTTTTTTTTACTTTCTTTAAAATGTTACAAATTAAATTAAAAATCATCGGGGCAGTTACGCTGTACGCTGTTATACTTAGTAATAAATCTTACGGTTTTTGAAATACATTGAAAAATTAAAATCTAATTCGTTTACAACCAAAAATCCTTAGATTTTCGTAATTTGCTGATATCCTATTTTATTCATATTTAATTCCTATGATTTCTAGTGTGGAATATGAAGAGAGAAATTTAATTTTATCTATAGAATTAAACTTATTCTTATCCTTAACTTTAATTCAAGACGTGCCGTCTCTAGTTTTAGTTTACTTCAAGTCTTTTAATAAGCTTCTTGAATTTTCTATCATGAATTTCTCCATTAAATTTAGTGAGCAATTTCGTCTAAAAATATGGCTTTAAAAGCTAGAAATAGAACAGTTCTCTCAAAGGAAAGTGTTCCATTGACCTACCACGTTGTTGGAGCGTATGACGTAAGTACTCGTAAAGCTGTCGTAGACCAGGCGCCGATTTGGATGGTTCTCATTCTCACATATAACTAATATCTGTTTGTTGATTTTATCCAGATTTACAACGACGGAGTTGTACAATATTTTAATAGTGAGTCATTGTTCGTAATTTAAATTCGGAACAAAAAATTCGTAACGTTTACATCCTAATCAAAAATATTTTGTTTATCTAAGAACTATTTTGACAGTGTGAATTAACTGTATTTTATATTCTCCAGCAGTGCCTTTTAAACAATAAAGGGTATTCTCCATAGTTTCCAGAAGCAAACTCGAAGAACTTATATTTTACCTGACTTTCAGCGTTTTTTAATAATATAGCTATTTGAGACCTATTTTACATGAGTCGTACCTCGCTTGTTTTAAAATAGGTATTGTTTGTCAGTTTCTGGTTTGTTTTCAGATTTGATGAGGGAATTAGATGTAATGTGTTGCTAAATCGGTTTCTCTTTGCGAAATCCAAACAGTTAAGAATCTGAGTTCAGCTAGATACCGTAGGAGTTTTTTTACTACAGCATTTTTTTGAAGTTATATTGACGGAAATAACTATTCTACCATTTTTGGAAGGGAAATAGCGTACAGACACGTTCAAAATGTTGTAAATACAGACAAGTTATTTTTTTAAAAGGATTCAGGAGAAGGATGCGAGACCTACCTGATTTTCTTGGTTGAGCAGTTTTAGTTGGTCGTTTATAAGGCTGTACTTGGCGCTTTCCTCTTTCCTCAACGCTCGCTCCTTTTTCAGCTCGGGACTCCAGAAGGTCTTTATGCTATGCATGCTGGAGCCGAGTTTTTGATTTGTCAATTCCAGCTCTTTCTTAAGATTCCCCAACTCCCTTTGCAGATCGGAATTCTGAGATTGCAACTCTCCGAGGAAGAGGGGGGGTGGTTCGCGTCTGTAGTAGTCCTCTTCAGGAGGGGGCGGCGGCGCGTAGGAGCGGTCATAGTCGCGCTCGAGGGATTGGTAGCGGAGGGGACGAGGGCGCGCGCGGTGGTGGGCGCCGGCCGAGGCGGAGCGGCCTCGCTCGTCGGGCGCCGGCGAGGGTTCGTCATCTCGCGTCAGGTAGGGGCTGCGGCGTGACGGGCTGCGATCCACCTGAGGCAGGCGGGCGCGCGCGCCGCCGCCGGCCCAATCCTGCCGGCGCCACTCCTCCCGGCACGGCGGCCGCTCGTCCTCCGCGGCGTACTCGCGGAGATACAGCTTGGCTCGTTTCCCGCGTCAGTGGGAACGCATTGTGCACTGGACTGCGCGACGGGTACGCGACCACTGAACGAAACGCCCGCCGCATCGATCGGCCTTCGGTTGCGCATGCGCGGAACTTGCACAACTAAGCGGCTCGAGCGCTACCGATTGATTCCCGGTCGGTGTTAGTCGTACGACAGGATCGAAGGCGGCTGCCACACAACTTGCTTATAATTTAATTAACATGATATGATATTTTCGGATTCAATCAACCCGAATGTGATTATTGGTAATTATGGCGACAGCATAACCAATTACGGTAAAATGCTCCGCTACTCCCATGTGGTTTGACGAACCGATCGATGATGAAGGAAAGTATTTTCCATCAAATTATAACCATGTAATATTACAAACACGTACATTAAATATTCAATGGATGTTATACCACCTATATTTAGGTTTATATAATATTTCGATAGAAAGATATTGGATTATTTTTCTGACTGTAATATTTGTACCTACGTGATGGTAGAAAAGAAAAATGGTACCTACCTACATGCAAACAATTTGGGGACATAGATACTTTTTAAATCTGGTTAAATTAATACTCCGCAAATGTAATCTCAAGAAACCATTTTAATAAAAAATTATGCCCACTTGAAAAAGTCTGGAAATTATTCCTCTACAGAAAAAAATCTTTTACTCTGAATACTTAAGTGAGTACAATCAATTATAAGTTCTGTTCTTCAAAAGCCTAGGTATCTATTTATAGACCTCTGTTTTCAACCACCCATTTCCACAGAGCCACGTTTTTCAGCATTTCAGCGCTTAATAAAAGCGGTAGCAAGACGCCTCTCATCCCGTGACCCACTTATATTTTTTGTCTCTTTCTACTCTCTTCAATACCAATGTTGTTATCTCTCTTTATAGTAAGGTCGACTTATGTCGGTCAGAGGCGGTGGCAGCGATCGGGAAGAGTGTAGTGGTGTGCTATCATATCGATAAATAACACAGGCCAACAAAATATGACAAAGTTTCTTACCTAATAACCACAGTATAACTTTCGGAAGGAAATCCAAATCCAAATTTTATTATGCCTAAAAAAGTACACAAGGTATTTTAAAGTTCAAGACTACCGCTTTCAAATGACGTTGAGTTTGCTCAAATATCTTTTTTTTTGCTGAGATAGTAGTGAACAGCGTTTGCAGTTCAGTTTAAGGTTTTGCTTGGATGAAGTCAGGGTCGGCAGTATTTGATTGGTTTTGAGGCAAAAAAAAGAAAGATATTAAAGCAAACTCGTCATTTGAAAGCTGAAGACTTGAACTTTAAGATACCCTGTGTACTTTTTTCATTAAGATTATTAAAATAAACTTTTACAATAACTTAACTACCAGAAAAATATTTTGATATCTAAAATATGATAGAATCGAGATGAATTACAATAAAATGGCAACACTCGGGCCAAGTCATTAAACTGAAACAGTATTATCAAATTATTCTGATCCATAATTTACGGAACCTCTGATTTGCTGGCGTTTCAACAATATTCATCGACGAATACGCCCAACTCTATCGCTAGACGGACGATGAATGAAAAGCGGAGAATCGCCAACTGTGCGCGTCTCGTAAAAAATTATACCGTCGTCGTCGCTCGGTCGCGGTCGTTAGTGGCGCCACTGTCGCAATAGTGGGTCGTATCGTAGCATTTTTCCTATTGGTTAACTTAACTCTCAACGATTTAAAAATACGTCTTCTATTATGTCATACGATTTAATAATACAACAAAAAAGGTGGCAACTTAATTTAAGATAGCTTTCAGATAACGTAAATATAAGACGTCTTATGGCAATGCGTTGTTATAAGAGTTTATGAAAGTTACATAAAGTAGCCGAATAAGAAGTTGGGTATGCTTCAAAACTGTATTCAACTTTTGAATTCAAAAGTTCCATAAAAAATATACCTACTGTTTTTTTGTAACCCAGATTTCAAGTTTTTGCCATAAGCTTGAGTCTACTTGATTGAAATCTTTCGGTAAAGGAAAAACGCTTTTCTGCTCTGTTATGCTTTAAAGTAATAATAATAATAAAATTCCGAACAGGTTTTTTATGGGTACATAAATAGAGATGAGTACGAAAATAATAATTCGAAAGTATAAAGTAGTTTTTCTGTTGTAGGTAAAGTGTTTGTTACACAATAACGCCTATTCACGCCGATCCGCTAAAAGGATTTAGATTCAATTTGGTTCACAGGTAGGTGGTACGTATAGTCTATACGGCAACTGAGATGGACGTGGGCGAAGCCTAGGGTAAAAGCTTTTTGGAAAGCAATTCAAGCAAGCTTGCGCAAAAAATATGTATGAATCGAAATGTTCATATATTCTAATAAAATTCTCCAAAAATATCGTACTTAGTATGTTTTAATATTATATCATATATAATATTACATACTTTCACGTATTTTATCTCCGAAGGGGTAGGCTGAAGCGTAATAAACGCCCACAATGTGATGGATGTCTGTGTGTAAGGACTTCTATTTTAAACTCTTTAACGATTGAATAAATAGTTAAACATACATAGGTATAATGTAAGTTTAAGATCTGAAACATTTCTTATGCAATGTCGTTTATCAAATTTAATAGTTAGAAAATTCTGTAACGTAACTGAATCATATGTCTGACTGACTATTTCCTCCAAACCAAAACCTCCTTTCTAAGGAGAGGCCTATGTCCAGTAGTGGGCTATTAAAGGCTGTTGATGATGATCATGTAATAAATAATATCTAATTTTATTGTTAGCAAAACACACAAAGCTACCTACTGCTACTACTATTAGGGACATTGCTCATGCTTCGGTCTGCACTCACCATTCTATTACCCTAACTTTGCCCGTCTAGTTGAACAATTTCTCGTCGGACCATTACTAAACAACCTATGGACTGTAGGTAAATGTATGGTTTTTTTTCTATGACTTATTAGAGTTTGCCACTATTTTAAAGAAAATTAATACAAGATTCCTGAATGACGTGGCAACGACATAATTAAGGATAATTATTAATTATGTTGTTTACCCATTTTACCCCATTTTTTATTGGTTGATCCCCATTTTTAAGCTATTGCATAGCTTCTATCGCGGGCCTTGACCGTGGAGACCGAATCCAGAAATTCCGTAACGGAAATAACCTAACACCTCCCACTTCGACCGGCACAACGGTGATACTTTTTAGTTTTGCCATCTATCTATAACTTTTTTCTGTTTTTCTCTTTGCAGAACTTTTTTTAAGGTAGGGTGTTCCTTTGACATGACAAAGGGGGGAGACCAGTTTATTTTTATTAATGTAATAACATCCTAATACAATACCCCCCCCCACCAAAAATTTTATAATTGCATTGAGGTCCCTTCAAAAGAACTCCCCTTCTCTCCCCTCCACTTTTTTCATTTATCCCCCTTTGATTTTCTCGGTACCTGGAGCACTTGGACTCCCATGTTTGGGTTTGTCTGAACCGGGAAAAGGAGACGAACAATCTGGCACCTACAGATTTTTTTTTGAAAAGTATCGTAACATGTAACAACACTTCAGTCTGTTTTTCTAAAGAGGGGCGGGGGGGGGGGGGTATTTTCGAGGGACGACTTATTTTTTAATGATTGCATTGAGGTCCGCACAAAATACCTCCCCCTCACCATTCAACTTTTTTCATTTATCCCCCCTTTGATTTTCTCGGTTCCTGGAGCACTTGGACACCCTATGTTTGGGTTCGTCTGAACCGGGAAAAGGAGACGAACAATCTGGCCTCTACAGATTTTTTAGCTGGTACCCGCGACTTACGATCGTGTGGAATTTGAAAACACTGCCTTACTGGGTTCGATTCCCGGCCGGGCAAATTTCTATAGGGTTTTCCTGAGATAATTAGCGCGGCAGTCCCCGAGTGCCACACGTCTTTTTTTATTTTACTAGCTGTACCCTGCCGCAGGAGCCATTGACGATTAAAACTGGTTGTATAACGTGTCATAATTTAGGCTCAATCCATGCAGAACTTATAGTGTTTTTGAATCCCAGGAACCGAATCCAACTTAATACTTATAGGTATGTATACTAGCGATCCGTCCCGGCTTCGCACGGGTGCAATGTAGATCATAGTAATACTACTAGTGTGGAGTAATTATTTATACTATTATTATGATAGGACTATACTACAGGACATCTTTAACTGCAATATTAATAGACCCGCTCCGATCTTGCCGGGTACTGCCACGGCTCGATGGTCATTTGGCCCCGCATTTTAAACCTGGAATATCTTCTAAAATGATCATTTTTAAGGATATGCTGTACAGAGTAATTTTAATCTACATTAAATGTACAAAGTATCTAACGTATTTAATTGGATGAGGAATAATAATGTATTGTTTAAAATTCGTATATAAACCATTCGTTTTTTTAATACTTATTTAGAAGATAGAAATGGTTACTGTGGGTTATCCTTCTATTATCTTGTAGAAGATAGAAATATACTAGCGCGGACTTTTGTGTAGATTTTTTAAGACATACAATTCCGTAGTACATTATTTTGCCCTATCTCGTAAAGTGTATTCAGGGTTTGCAATGTAAGCGCACAAAAACATGTTTTTTACAACAAATCTTTGAGATTCTCGATTTTCTTGTACAATAATACATGCATGCATGCGTGCATGTATTATACATATAAACCTTCCTCTTAAATCATTCTCTCTGTTTGTGAAAACCGCTTTAAAATTGTTGTTTAGTTTAAAAGATAAGCGTACAACACAAAAAAGCTTCATTTTATACTATGTAAAGATAAATATAATATATAGATAACGATAATCGAGAAACCATGTTTTACTCTTGAAAAATCTCTTTAATATACTTGTGTATATTATTACTTAATATGTATATAGTCCGTGTGGTGACGGATTAAGAATACAGATTGTCACCACCCCTATTCATCCCGTGGGTGTTGTAAGAGTTAACTAAGGGAAAAAACTACGCAGAACAACAACACTGCACAGAGAAGGAAAACTTGACACAAACCCTATACCAACCCGTCTGGCCAGCGTGGTATAGTAGGCCAAAACCTCCTTTCTAAGGAGAGGCTTATGTCCAGCAGTGGACTATTAAAGGCTGTTGATGATGTATATAATCTAGCTTGCGTAGTCTGATGTCATTTTCAGTTGTCTAATTTAACAGAGAGTACCGGTTACAAGTAGGTGAACTTGAGGCAATAACGTTGAAAGTTTTACTTCATCCAGGCTGATCCAAAAACTTTAAGTAAAAACTGAAATTCGTAAAATATAGGTAGGTAAGAGAAAATTGTTGTTGGAGTAAATTAAACTTTTGCATATGCTTTGCTTATGTCGGCGGCCAACGCTCTCTGACTATCAATCTATGATTCTAAACTGAAAAAAATGTCTACTTAACTACTTTAAATTGTCCAGTAAACCTTACTTTAAATTACTGCAGCTACGATAGTTTCTACATAGGCCAAATGAAGCGAATTATTACTTAAAAGATGCAAATTGCACAAGAACTCATCGCTGGACCGACAGACTAGCAAATCATCAATGAGCAGCAAGTTCTGGAATCGAATCACAAAACGTCTCATTCACTGAATTGATTGCATACAACAGTGGTTGAAATTAAAAAATATATATATAAAATGTTCAAATGCTTAGGTCAGTGGTTCCCAAACTTGATTGGGCTCTGACCCACCTAACAAAAACTGCCAAATTCGGGACTCACATTTTGGCCGTCTTAAAAAGGGGGCATAAAATATTGGTACCTATTTTTTTTCAGTTGACATTAATTTGTTATCATTACAGACAACATATATATTGTAATTTAGTATGCGTCAACACTATGGATGAAGGACAACATTCCTTCTTAAGAAGAATAATTAATAAGAAAACTTTAATTAAGAATAGATTTTTTTTAAACTTAAATACCTACATACAAAGACTGTTATTTCAATGGGAAGGGTGTATTTGTTTTCTTTTTTTGAGACACAGTTTTTCCACTGTAAACTTTTTTCATTTTTATAGGAAACAATTTAATTGAAAATTTCCTTCGCCGTTCCACTACTTATTGGCTTGCCAAACCAATAGTTGCGCTGTAATAACTGTGCGCTCTCGATTTCCTTTACTTATTTTGCTCCAAACATCGCTCCAACAGCATCTTAAATCGATGGTAACACTAAGTCTTAACCAATTTTGCGAGGCTTCCTGCTCTGGCGATCCTTAAGCTGATAAGGTAAGAGGTGAAAGGTAAAACAATATTTTTTGACGATTTCATGTCCAACAATTTTCTTCCAAAAAAATCTGCTGGCTTTTTTTCAAAGAAAATTCTTGGAAGCAGTCCCATTTTGCGAAAAATGGGAATGCTTCGTTTCTATCTAATGCGTCAACTTACTTGGCCGCATGATTTCCTTCGCTAATATTTAGTAACAAATCACGCATTGAGGACGCAGAGCTAGTTTCATGATTCCAAGTGAATCGTAGTTTCAGATATTCAGGATCATATTTTCGTACAACTTTCTGTCGTTTTAATTCTTGTGAACTCGTTGAGGAAGCTTGAAAGTCAGCTTCAGTGCCACTCCTGTCATTTATAAGAACATCTTCTGTCTTTTCATCACTTTGTACATAATCAACGTAGTTTTTGCTATTCGTTTCAACCAATTTTTATTTCTTATCTTCAAATATTGATTGTTAAATATTGATTTTAAATATTATAAGGGCGCACACTAACGAACACAACGCAACGCGATAAAGAATGTCACAAAAACAAAAGACGTCCTGTGTTGTGAGCCCGATCGGTCTGGTTATCTTATGTTACAGGGCCCACTTAATATTCGCTCATGACCCACCAGTGGGTATTGACCCATACTTAGGGAACTCCTGGCTTAGATGATTTTAAATTATTAACAGCAATATGCAATACAATAATTTTATTTTGGTCTCTTTCTGTGAAGCTGTAATGCTCCAAAAAGAGACCGCTGAAGGGGATCGGGAGAGGGCCTATCCTGAGCGAAGAAGGCTTTAGGGGCGGTATGAGCCACCGAGGGGCCTCTGGTGGCAGATTGATTACTGCGGTATAGGACATGTTGGCGGCTTGATTGTATCAAAATGCGATCGGGCCGCAAGACTAACTGATAGGCGGAGGCCTAAAGCCGGCCGTCGGAGTAGTCGTTTGTGAATACACTACATACTCCTCGTAGCTCCTGCTTCACCTAGGAGCCGGAGCTTTTAGAGTATTTTTCCACCCCGTCAACAAAAAAATGCTAATTTTATTTGGGGTCGGCGCACTTTATTTGTTTCTTGCTTCTATGGGGTCTACCAATAAGAACGTCTTGTTTTAAAAATTGAATAAAACACACAATTTTTTATGAAAAATGCATCCGATTGATTTATTTGATAGATAATTTTATGCAATTTATGTTTTAAATAATATAGCGGCCAAATGACCGCCGCGGCTCTTTTTGCAGACGGTCACCCGTTCACGCCAATTTTCGATGACGCGGTGCACCATTTTGGTCGGTATGTCGAATGTTGGTTTTTGAGTCACGAATTGTAGCTGGATTATTGCTGTACACTTTAGATTTAACGTAACCCCAAAGAATATAGTCTAAAGGTGTTAAATCACACGATCTTGGTGGCCAACTGATCGATTCATTTCTAGAAATTAACGACTCACCAAACTTTCCACGCAATAATTCCATGTTCACTGGAGTAATGTGAGGTGGTGCACCGTCTTGTTGAAAATAAAGGTCGTCTGCATCAATATCATCAAATTCCGGAAAGAAATATTCGGTTAACATCGAGTTATAGCGCTCGCCATTCACAGTAACAGGGTTTCCTTCGTCACTTTTAAAGAAGTTTGGACAATTTCCAAGCGTTGGTTTAAAGTGGAACGTGACATGATAAAATGGCATACCTTACTGAACACAAATGTCAAGAGACATCAAAAATCCATCATCAAACATGGCCGCTATGAGCTGTCAAAACCAGGTCATCCCTATTGGTAGACCCAGTACTTTGAAAACACTGATTTTTGCATCTTAAATTACTTAAGTTATAAGCTATTTAGAAACACAACAATAGCAACGTAACAATAATAAAGTAAATACCTGAATCTAAAGTTTTTTTTTTGTAAATGGCGCTAAGTAGGTATATAGAATTCCGAATCTAGATAAACAATTCATACTTTTCATATCACTTTTCAATTTTGACAGGATAGGTATAACTTTTTGCAGTAATATTATTTCATTTAGTGTCCTTGCATAATATATATATATATATATATATACTCGTATATGTATTTGTTTTTGTACTATTTCTGAGATTTTTATTAGCACACAAAATTTATTTGACATTTCAAAATTCTGAAATTTCTGAACGAAAATTTTAAGCAGATTTGAGTTGTCAGTGGAGGTTATTTTTTAAGCGAATAATAAACATTTAGAAATAAATTACAAGAATGTCGTTACCTCCGGCAAGTGGTACCGGCAGATATTTTGCAAGAGCAGCTAAATCTATTCGTTTGATCCGTCATGGGTGTACTAACAGACCTTTTTTTCACATTTCCGTCACTCATGTAAGTAACCTAAACCATGGAACGATATTACATACCTTTTTTAATGGAATTATTTGCCTTTAAATTCCTATTATATTCATTCTTGACTTCTTTTGTCACGGTTATGATCATATGCAATTTTTTTTATCAGAGGAAACGAACAAACGCCCAGCCAGTGATTGAGCAGTTGGGTTCATACGACCCCATGCCTAATGTAAATAATGAAAAACTAGTGGCTCTGAATTTAGAAAGGATAAAATACTGGCTTGGCAAAGGTGCTCATGTGTCTACCCCTGTTGCTGAGCTATTTGGTAAGTACCTTTATGATCTAAGGCCTCTATATGTAATTTTTGGGTAACCATGTTGTATGGAAGTAATGTTATCTATATAATTGAAGTCCCTTACATAAACATTTTAAGGTAATATAAGACATTGCTATTATTTATTGAATTCATTAACAATTTATTACAATTGTGTCCGAATACTTTTTAATGGTTTTCATTGCCAAGTTCACAATTAGTGACCATTCTTGGTACTTTATGTAAATTGTGACTTTGATGTTTAGATAGATTGTCAATGCCTGAAAAGCATTAAGAATAATAGTGTCCAGCTGTGTTCATAGGCATTGTTCTCTCTGAAGTTGTTAAGTAATCATGATCATACTAGTTAAGACTCTCATGTTGGCTGATCTCAAGTGACAAGGACTTAAGGATGGTTCCTTGTCAAGACCGTTTTCCTCTACAGATATGGACCCCCACTGTCACTATAAATTCTTGATTAACACTTGTATCAGCATGATATAGTTTGCCTTTTTGTCTTTAAATGTTTTGTAGTATGACATGCAATCTAGACTAAGTAATCTAAGGTTTCAATTTTAAACTAAAAAATCTAAATAAATTTTAAAACTTGAAAAGTAGATTTAATCTGAATTTTAAATGGTATGGATGTGGAACAAAAGGTATACACCTTACCAAATTCATATATACATATATTTATGTGTAGATCATATAATCATTATCAACAGCTTCTACTGGTCCATTGCTGGACATAGATCTCTCCTTAGACAGGAGGTTTTGGCCTGCTGTACAATGCTGTCCAGACAGGTTGATATAAAGTTTGTTTCAAGTTTTCATTTTCTCTGCAGTGCTGTTGTCCTGCATAGTTCGCTCCCTTAGTTGGCTCTTACGACACCTACGGGATGAATAGGTAGTGGAGTGAATAGGATGTATTCATATTACAAAAAAAAACGTACATTTGTTGAACAAAGGACTTCTAATCATTGTAATGAAAAGGTGTTGTTTAAGAATAATAATATTTTCGGACATCCGACACGACGCCATCTAGTTCCAAACTAAGCAGAGCTTGCAAACATTTGGTCCTATCCTTGAACCAAGCCTTAATTATTAGAGATGCCACTAATATTCGGTATTCGGCCATTTTTTCCATTATTCGGTATTCGGCCGAATAGTTCGAACTATTCGGCCGATAACCGAATAGTAAGTCACAAAAAAGAATGCGTAATATTATTTTACAATGAACTTATCATAATAATATTTAAATCAAACGATCGTTCCTCATAAATTAAAAAGAAAACCGCTCACTGTATATAGGGTGAGCGGTGAAGAAGCAGGTATAATTCTTCTGGTACTAATCCTTCACAGACTGCTTCTGGGGGATGTTAAATAAATCTAAGCAAATTCTGTCAGGTTAGGTTATTGTTTTGCGTTTGCTGGCCATTTTATTGATTCAGGTTTAAACTAGCGAAAAGTACTAGGGGGGGGGGGGGTTTGTGAATGAATCTTATTATTCACAATACCCCCGATGCACCACCAACTTTTTGCAACCCAATGGGTGAGTCTTCTATTGACGTGACGCTTACGCGCGGCGACGTCTCGATATCCGGATGGCGTGTCCTTCCGGACGCATCCTGTAGTGATCACCGCTTGATCGTGTACGAATTCATACCAAGGGTTGCACAGGATCCACAAAGGGCTCCCTATAATTTTAGATATAAAACTAAAGGTGCGAACTGGGCTTTGTTTGGTTCACTCTTTGCAACTCATACCAAAGACTTCAGTCGCAGTAGTTTATCAGCTGAGGAAAGCGCAGAAATACTATCAGAAACTTTTACATACTGCGCTGATGTAACTATTGGTCGCGGATCTATCACTAACACTCGTAGATGTGATTGGTGGAATGATAGATTAGCCGAACTACGTAGAAGCTACCGGAAAGCTCGTAGAAAATTAAACACTATTAAAAAACATAACGTAACAGGAGATTTGTACAACAATGCTCTCATTGCTCTTAGAGTTGCCAGGTCCCACTACAGAGCTGCTGTGGAAAAATCCAAGGGCAACTTAATTCAGAAACTTGTTGATAAACTCGATAGAGAGGGCGTATATGGCGGTGCGGTAATATTCGTATAATACCAAAAAGTGGCGACAAGCCACCGGATGATCCTAAATCCTACCGACCAATCACATTATTACCATCGTTAGGAAAGCTTTTAGAACGTCTTGTAGTGCCCCGGCTTCTGCCAGGTGGAGTCAAATTTCATGATAGACAATTTGGATTTACGTTGGGTAAATCGACAACTGACGCTGTTATATCGGTTAGAAAGTTTGTCACAGAGTCAAAATTTCAATACGTGCTGGCTATTTTCTTAGATATATCTGGCGCCTTCGACAACGCATGGTGGCCCATGCTGTTGCTGAAATTAAAATCACGGGGGTGCTTTAAAAATATTTATTCCCTTATCTCTTCGTACTTTTCACAAGGTACAACTAAACTAAGACTTGGTCATCATTCTGTGTCGAAGGCGCTTACAATGGGATGTCCTCAGGGATCGGTGCTAGGTCCATACTTGTGGAATATCGGCTTCAACGATTTTCTTGCGATACCAATACCATCCGGATGTACTCTCAACGCGTATGCTGATGACGGCTTATTACTGGTGGAATCTGATACTAGGGCGGGGCTTGAGAGATTAGCCAATAGATGTTTGAACTTGATATCTCAATGGGGTGAACGTAATCGCTTAACTTTTGCACCCAACAAAACCTTCCAGCTACTTTTAAAAGGTAACCTCAAATCACCGCCGAGCATTAGATTTGACAATGTTACTGTAAAAAATAAAACTACAGTGTGTTATCTAGGATTAGTTTTAGAAAGAAACTTTTCATTTATCGAACATATTAAAATAGTTAATGAAAAGTCTAAAAAGAGTTTCTGTGCATTGACAAGGATATCAACTGCGACATGGGGTCTATCATTTAATACATTAAAGATCATATACGGAGCTACTTATTTAGGTTCTATGTGCTATGGTGCACCTGTATGGGCCGATAGGGCGACCGTAGGCGCTGTCCGTCGCAAACTGTTACAAGGCCAACGACTTGCACTGATATTCTTGTGTAAGGCATATAGGACGGTTAGCACTGAGGCTTTGCCGGTGTTGGCGGGTGTGCTTCCGGTCGATCTCGAGGTGCAGAGACGTGAAGCCATGTACTATTCAAGACAACAAAACATGGAATGCGATTTTTTTGGCGCGCGGGATCGCGGTAAAATTACAAGATTGCTTCAACAGCAGCCCGATGTCTATAATGACCTCGTAGACGAATGGCAACAACGCTGGGATGAATCATCCAAGGGGCGCCATCTTTACCAATTCTTTCCATCTGTTCGCGAACGGTTGTCGAGGATATGGCTTGAGGTGGATCACTGTGTCGCTCAATTTCTTACGGGTCATGGTAACTTTAAGAGCAAGCTTTATTCATTTAAATTAGTCGAGTCACCATTGTGTCAATGCTCAACACCTAACTCTCACTATGAACAGTCTGCTCATCATATCCTCTGGGAATGTAGTCTTTGGTATAATGAACGTAATATAATGCTGAAAAGCTTGCAGGTGACATCTGGGGCGGTATACTATGGGGATCTTGGTCAACTAGGGTGAATTTCCGTGCGTTTAGGCGATTCTGCCATACATATTATAGAAATCAAACATAGCTCACGTAGGACCCGTAATATTTGTGGCCGTGGTGCTTCCCTGTTTTAAAGGGTGTATGCCCATTTTACTTCATTTTGTCTCCCGCTTTGCTAAGGAGGGAAGTGGATTTACTGTATTTCCAACTCCTCCAATTTTCTTCTGATTAATTTCGTTGCGGGTTCCAAGACAGTTTAATTTCTTCCTGGGACTTCCCGAGTGTCATAACTCGGTGTGTTCGTGGGTCACTGCTGTGGATCCTGGTGTACAGGAGTTACAGTGGTGGGCGTGTGGGTGGGATTAGTCCTAAATTAGCGAAAAGTACTAAGTGTTGTACTAAGCGCTTCGGCCAAGACACTCGCCGAAGCGAAATCACTATTCGTGGCATCTCTACTAATTATTATAAAGATTTTACTTTACTTTTTATATATTTAAATATTTTACTTTTATTACACTGCGTGATCCCCACAGTGTCGACACACAAAGTGTCGTCCCATGTGGGGATCGGACCCACAACACTCAACGTAATAGTGAGCGGCGTGCCGACCGCTTCAACCACCATGCCATCCGTGCAGCCAATTAGGTTCATATTCATTGGATTATTTTTGCAAAAACACCTTCACTTAAGTGTTGAATGTCATGCCACAATTATCTGTATTTTGTATAAAATAGATGTTAAAATATGCAATTACTTCTGATTTCAGGTCTCGCTGGATTTTTTCCAATTCACCCTAGGTCCTACATGACAGCTTGGAGGAATAGGAGAACTGAAAGGGAAAATTTGGCAAAATTGGAAAATGAGAAAGCTAAAGAAACTACTGCATAATTAGTCTGTAATTGGTAAACTAGTTTATTTTGTAGTCAATAATAAATAGATATTTACAACTTCTAAATTATTCAAGAAATTCATTTATGTAGTTACACACACATACTCTGTACTACATGTACATACTTCTGTAGAATAGTTTTGAATATTCATGTTTTTAGATAGAATCATTTTCATTCGAGCCTATTGTTAGGCCTATATTTAGACTCTGAACTGATACTCAGTATTTGCATTTCATAACAGTGACCTAACCCAAGAATTGATTTGAAGGCAATGATGAGAGGCACTTTTCACTTAGTGTCAATAATAAATAATTATTTTCTTTAAATGAACTGTGGTCCTAAGGCTGACCTTCAATCAGCCTTAGGACCATATATTATATTTCTGATCACTACTCAACCCAACACAAGCAAGGTGAGCAAGAGACACCACTATGCAAGTTCTTATAGACGTAGTGTCTATTTAGTTTTATTGTTTCTTTGCCAACATAGTCCTTTGATCATCAACAGCCTTTTAATAGTTCACTGCTGGACATAGGCCTCTCCTTAGACATGAGGTTTTGGCTTACTATACCACGCTGGCCAGACAGGTTGTTATAGGGTTTGTCAAGTTTTCCTTCTCTTTGCAGTGCTGTTGTCCTGCGTTGTTTGTCCCCCCCCCCCCTCCCCCCTCCTTAGTTTGCTTTTACGACACCCACGGAATGAATACTAGGCATGCCTTTTAAGTTCTGTTGTTTCCATATTTCCCGGCAATTTCGAATTTGGAACTGTTCTATATTCGAATGTGTTTAAATTTTGAATCTCAAAACAGTTAAAAGTATTAGGATTAATGCTATTGTTTAGTCACAGCGTCGATTGGAATCTGTCAGGTTACGTACGAAAACGAATCTTTCTAAGGAAAATGTTCGTGCAATAATTTTCTACAACTTTACAAGAGGCCTGACACGGCTTCAGTGTTTTGAAGAGCTAACATCTGTGTTTAGTGATGAAGTCCCATGTCTGCGGACTGTCGAACGCTGGTATTTAGAATTCCAGCGTGGACTTACTATTGTTAGTGACAAATCTCGCGAAGGACGCCCAAAATCCGCCTCCACTGAAGATAACATCATTGCTGTGAGACAACTAATTCTCGAAGATCGTCATGTGACGTACCGAGAGATAGAGGCTCTATTAGGCATCTCAGGGACAACCATTCAGAAGATCTTACATGAAGCGCTTGGTGTGAGAAAGCTAGTTTGCCCTTGGATACCGCATCTGCTTTCCAACGATCACAAGGCGGCCCGCGTCAGATCGTGAAAGAAAACTCTGCAAAAGTTCAACAGAGGAGAGTCAAATCACGTCTACGACATCATCAGTGGTGACGAATCTTGGATCTATGCCTACGATCCTGATTCCAAACAACAATCTACAATCTGGGTCTTTCAAGACGAGGCAAAACCGACAAAAGTTGTTCGTGCTCGAGACACTTCAAAGATGGTGGCCACGTTCGTTGGAAAACACTTTGCACTTGAAGATCGTAGAACGTTTAACGCAGAGTGGTATACCACAGTTTGTTTTCCACAAGTCATCGCCAAACTTCGAAAATCTAACTCAAAGCGACGCATCATCCTGCACCACGACAAGGCAAGCTCACACAGCGCTCGTCAAAGGACGTGTTTAAATAACCTTCTTCTAATTCTTGACCATCGTCCATACAGTCCTAACGATTTCTTTACATTTCCTAAAATTAAGAAGTATTCGTGGTCAAAGGTTCCAGTCCGTTGAAGAAGCAGTCGACGCTTTCAAGTCAGACATTTTAAACACCCCCACTTTAAAGTGGAATAAATGTTATAATAACTGGTTTGAGCGAATGGAAAAGTGTATTAAGCTACGTGGTGAATACTTTGAAAAACAATCAAAAGTACTATAAGGTTCTAGTAGTGTTTTCTTCTTCAAACGATAAAGCTTAAAAGGCATGCCTCGTAGGCGTACATAACCTATTCTTAATCTTTCACCATAGTCACACAGTCCTTTATACCGTTAATACTTACGTAGGCGGTTTATAAAAATAAACATATTTAACCACTAACTAACAATACTTATAGCGGGGAATGTTATTCACGTCTCTTCTACTCGTAGCCAACGTTACTGGATGGTGTAGCAGCAGTTTGATAGGTAACAGCTGAAACACAATTTTAAAAAAGAAGTCCTGAGTCTGAGTGTTCTTTGCGTCTGTTTCATGTATGTTTGTAAGGTCCCCGCGACACAGGATTGTATTCCTAGTGCAGGAGTTGTCTTTTTAAACAAAGACAAAATGTGTTCAAACAAACGATTTACAATGAATTCCGTTTATTATGTGAAACATGACAAGAATAACAATTCCTTGAGTGAATTACATCAATAATTGGTAGCCAAGTGACAAAGGCACGTTACGGATTTGCATCCAAAGCGTAAATACGAAACACTTAAAACATGATTATATTTAAAAAACATGGGGTTCTCTGCAGTGGTCCGACCTCGCCATTAAACTTCCTATAGCCAATATATTAACACTTTTAATATACATTGAGGCGTAAAGCCACAAGGCAAAGTTTATTTCGAATGCGGCAAATGAAAAAATAAGATAGCCAAGCTTAATAATCTAAAATAAAAGAAGATGAGATCTAACAGCTTATAAAATAAGCGTTCCAAAGAACTGTAGTTTAGGAATTGAATCGATATTAGTAACTGCAATATCAGTTCCTCATCAAAACAAAATAAGCAATCAAACTTTAAAAATAAATGTGGAAGGGGTTTTTACTGCAGTGTCGAGGACGGAGCACCCAAGCGGTCAGTCACGAATAAAAGCTATACATCCTTAAAATTCTACAAAAATACATTATATATCTTGATTTTGGTTCCACAACAATATGGCAGCACTATTTCTTAAATGAATCTGGCAACATTGGCAAACTAATGATAAATTCCTAACCGAGAAAACTTAAACATGAGGAATTATCAACATACCTTGAGCAAATATATATAGTAATATTAAAGAGGAAAACTATAAGAAATTCATTGTTCCATCAGATAGATCTTAATATAGGGAAACTATCAGCTAAGCATGACTTATGCTTATATGTGTTTCAATCCCTACAAGATTACAAAAGTCAGAAAAAGATATATTCAACTAATAAATTTAAAACTAGGAAGTAAAATGATTAAAAAAAGTGTCACAATTATAAACAACTTAACTAGTAATACATGGTTTTTACAATTATGTTTTTGTTATAACCAAGCCCTTTACCGGGTCAGAAGGAATTTTAACACCATATTTAAAAATAATAGTCCAATTGGCTTGCAGTCATTGTCACTAACACAATATTATACAGGATCAATAAGCAGATTCTGATCTAATTAAAGTAATACCGTACTTTGAATTTTCATAACAAAATCTTGATAGTCCTGTGAGTATATAGTTATTTATAGGAAAAAGAACATTTTATTAGTTTGTAAGACTTCTATAGAAAATATTCCATAACCTTTTGAATATTCCGTTATATTTTCTACATAAGTAACAAGTTTTTACTTCTTTTTTCATACACAAATAACTGTTTACTTACACGAAAAGATGTAATTTTGCAATGTTATAATTTAACTTATTTTTATTTTCAAATCCAAAATCTGCCATCACCTACGTTCTTAATTTAACAATGCGTTTAGTTCAGAAAATGAGGGTAGTTCTTTCATTTCTAATCAACACTCGTAAAACACAGTTGTCAGTTTTTGTAAAGATAGCAATTAAAAAATAAAACTGATTTACCAAATTATCACCAGTCTATCTCACTTGACTTGAGCAAGGGTTCCTTCCCTAAGTAGGAGTTTTTTTTTGGCCAGAAATGCAATGGTTATCAGAGTAATGTCTTAAAGGCCATACAGGAATGTTGATCATAAACGATTAATTGACAATACATTTAGTGATAAATAATTCTTCACCTTTTCAATTTTACTTTTATTGGAGTGATTGTGCTGCAAAGCTCGTGATGGAAAAAGCGGGTGCCCAAATAACCTTTTGTACTTTCGCTCCCCACAAAGTTTTGTAACAGTAATTATGTTTAGGTAGTCTTGGATTTGATTGTTTCGGCTACCACACGGGATGCTGTGAAAATAAAAAAAACTTGTTAAAACAACAAATATCATATTTTTAGAATAGTTAATTATTATTTTTTAGTTTAATAATGTTAGTTAATTTTCTAGTAAAGGCGTCCTATTTTTTCCCCGAGTCTGATGGATTTGATAGTTTTTTTTTACCTATTTATTAGATACTGGTAGGATTTCTGTTTAGGAACTTAGCTGTAAAAAAGGATTTTTGTAACTTATTATTTATTACTGTAAGCATACAGCCAGACATAAATATGTTTACAAAAAATATATGTCGAATTCACCCGAATTAGATAGTAGGTTTTTGACATAGTATTCAATAAATTACTTGGTACGCTAACATACGCTACATAATAGAAAATGCAGTTTTTTTTTCATTTACGGGTAAAACAATTTATTTTGGGGTTAACTTTAATCAGTGCGCATTCTTATGCGCCTATTTGTTTTCGGATAGATCATTTTTACCATAAATGTAATAAATCATTGTTTTGTCGAGAAATTCCTGGAGACGTACACTAAAAACATAAAAAATCGATTTAAAAATAATTCAAGAAACAAATAACATTTGCGCAACGACTTAAAATATTACTACTTAATAATTTAAATACTATTTTACATTAATTAATACAATTAATATCCAAAAGTTATTTACTTTTCTATTTGGTTACTTACAATTAATACTTTTTTATTATTATTTTTGTTAGTTCATAAACGAATAAGCGGGATTATATAATACAAGGCATAAGATACACACGATATTATAAGCTTTATCCTGTTATCTACGTGAATATCTGGCAGAAAATAAACCTGATTGCAAGAATTACAAAATGAAGTGAAAATATGGCCAAAGTTCATAGAAGAACCATTACGAATACATACAGGGTTACTAGTTAAGTCGACCTAGATAGTTTAGGGGCATTATTATAGTAGCCATTATTACTAATAGATAATACGTTGAAATACCATATCCCAAACCCAACCATTATCAAGATATTGGACTTTTAAGATGTTTATACAAATTGCCGAAATTTTGCCTAATACATTTTTTTTACTTACATCTTAATTTTTCTTGTGTCGTTGATACTTTGTTTTTAAATTCCGTTACTAAAATTGTAGTTAACTTAACAAACTGGGCCGAAGTAGATGGTTAATAATAGCAAAAAGAAATAAATTTGTAAAAAAAATGTTAAGATTTTAAATGAACGTCGGGTCGGGTTATCTATGTTTAGGGTAAGAAATTGCACATGACAAAAATATTCGGTAATTTAAAAAAAAACAATTTTGTTTTAAAGGTAAGCCATGAACATAATAAGTGCATGTTTTCTAACAATCGTGCAACACACTGCGTCTCCCTATACGTGATTATAGCTTTAGTGAATCAAGACCTTATAAGACCAAGAATTATGGAAATTGGAGTTAGGAGGGGCTGAATTAGTGTTTGTGTTTTATAAACTTTTTCCTCTTTGTGATATAATCTACGGAGTTCCACCATTAAGAGGAAAAAGTTATGAATACAACTGGCAACTCACAATAACAGAAGGAGCAATTGAATTAACACTGATGTTTGACCATAATTAAGTTTTTGTGTCAAGTCTATAACATATTTACTGCCAGACATTTTAAGTTTTCATACACAAGCATTTAGTAATCGTTTTGGGATCAACTTACCAGTGACGAATTTTGATTGCTATATCAGCTTATTCTTGTTTACCTAAAACGATTGAGGGTGTTAAGTGTGGAAAACTAGAAATATGTAGTTTCTAAAGAATGAACAGTATATTTCTATATAGTGGTAAGACTAGTTTGAAACAAGAGAGATAGTAGCTACGTGCAGAATATTCGTGTTTACAAATGTGTACTAAACAATAAATGTTTCAAAATAAATGAAAAAAATATACACCAAACTAACATAAGTAACCGTAAATAAATAACCGAATCTCGTACTTTGCAGTGCAAAGCGAATAAATCATCTTGTTCACTTATCGCCCAACTTTTTCATTGAACTCTCTATGTTGCTAGTAACACCTTGGACCATTTGTTTGATATTTGCTGTTTGTAAAGAAAAAAAATACTACGCTGACAGACACAATTAACCGCCCTGCCATACTTTTTGGCACTACTTCGTCAAGTGTAATGGCTAACAATCACTATCTAAGATCCTTGTCATTTACGTCATTTTAGCAATAAATTACACTAACTTTAAGTCTAGGCACAGACAATTTTAGGTTAAAAATATAATATACATATAATGTAATTTGACATTGGAATATTTTAATGCTGGACGATTGCAACACATTGATAAAACTTGACGCATTTCAACCGTTAGGATTTTTACAATCAATAATACCTACATACATTTCTATACGAAATAAAATTAATAATGTGTAATGAATTTAGATAGATTTCAAATGTTTTAATATAAAATTGACAATTGCATGTACCTTTTTGTTTGTAAAAGTAGTCCTCAGTAAAAAGAGAATAAAACTTTTTAGTTTCTTATATTCCCAAATGACAAGGAGCAAAGAGTGACAAAGAATATAGGATGGCGGTTAATTGTGCCTGCCAATATTATTGCAGCATGTTGATCAATAAAACAAAACCCATTCCCCAGACCTCTACCCCAGACAACAAAAACACGTAACATTTTTGATTAATTTACACTTAGGCCGCTAAGCATAATAATGAACAAATCAGACTACCCATGTTACTCCTGATTATTGACCAAAAGAGAAAAAAAATACAATGAATACAGATTAATTTCATGAAAAATACAAGAACGTACTAATTTGATTCAACAATGTCCATCCCCGACATATATTTAACGATGTTACAACACAAACCAATTAATATTGTTTAGAGCCGGTATTCACGAATGAGAGGGATAAAAATGAAGAGGAAGGAAATATGTGTCAAACGCCACAGTTTTCCTTTCTGTATTATCACTCGTAAACTAACGCACAATTTTTTTCATCTCCTAGTAATTCTTGTAACTTGTTATCACCGAATCGTCGTTGGCAGCACATTACACATGTTTCTGTTTTGACGTGGGATTCGCCTTGTGTCACAAGTCGGCTTCGGCGACTGGTTGATGGTAAGCGGCCGTTAACGTCACAGTATCCGCCTACGAAAAATTACACATCTCTGGTATCCTGTTGCATCGACATTGGGGACATTCTCATTTAATGGATACCGGCCCTAATATCTATATTATGCATGTACCCTTTGCCATGCAAAGCTTGCTTAGCAATAATGCACCTTAAGTACCTTAAAGGTTTTTGAGAGCTTTCGAGAAAGCTTTTGCAGTTTTATCAATATTTTTGTTGGCCTGCTTCACTATCTCTTCTAGTATTTTATCTAGAATGTAAAAACATAAAGAAATTTAAAAGAATGAGTGTACAAACAGTGCTGAATGTTGAAAAACAGTCTTAAATTGAAGTGGTATGCGTTAGAGTTACGATTGCTAAATGTATCAAAGCGTGTACAATCTAGCTGGGGCCCAGTTTTTTATACAAAACATCGGAAGGCTTTTGGCTTTAATACCCTAATTATCTAAACCTATTTTTTTATATAATATTGTAAATCCTAGTATACCTACTGAATTCGACTGATTACCGATACAACGTACTGAATTGCTAGATAAGAAACATAAAAACCATCAAATTTCACAATGGTTTATGGTAATCATTACTACCAATTTAAAGCAAAAGTCGATTCCGAGCACAGTTTATTAAAATTAATTTTTACAACAATATTTTTGCCCAATTAGATTTAATTCGATTCATTATTTATTTGTTAGATCTATTTAGTAATTCAGTTTCATTTCGAAATAAAGCAATAAACATACCGTATAGTATTATTATAATAAATATAACGGATATGCACATCAACAAATTCTTACTTGTAAGAAACTAAAATGCTCAAAAAATATTATATTGTGTAATATTTTTATACCAAAAAGTAGTAAACGTATTTACAGTTGTGTAAACTCTATAACAGCAAAAATAAATACTAATGAAAAAAAAACTCACAATTGAAAAAAATCAAGTTTGAATATGTTAATGACTAAGAATTTATTTTACCGAAACTTTTTTAAGTTTTGTTCATATATCTAAATGCAGTTAAAGCACATATCATTATTTCCATCACTATTGTGTAATCAATGATTCGACATAGATCTCTGTAGCATAATAGACAGTCATTGTCGTCGTCATATCATCATACAACGGACTTTGTATCTAGGTGTGCGCAAAAAACTTGCGCACAAGCAATTACAACTGCACCTAGCGGTACGAACATACATTGTAGTTATATCTGTTTTTATTTACGCTGTACCGATAACAGAGGCCCTAGTGCGGCCCTAGTCCTAGAACAATGGAGGTGATAATCTAAAACTTAATTAGTGATGTCATTTTATTCTAAACGGTGCTTTAATTAACAGCAAATATGACCCGATTGATTGACCCTAATTACTTTAACAAAAGTTTTCGTATATGTACCTATATTATTTATTATTATTTATATACACGCCTTTGCACTTACTTATATGCAAACGAGACCTTGAGAAAATTACCTAATCACTAAACGAGGTTGTACAATTCATTTAAAAAATATATTTACAAAATGTTTGTCTGCGATTTGCATAAAATAAACTACCTTAATTATTTTTTTAAGAAGTGCAGATGACTAGGAAAAATCTGCCTTTCTTATTTTTTTTTATTAAGACCAGTACTGCGTCACATTGCAATATCTAACAAGGTATGTGATTATGATTATGTTGGCACAGTTTAATTAAACCAGTTGTTTAATTTCTGTGCATTAATAATAAGAATTCGACATTCCACGACTTTCACTTAATGCAAATATATTTTAAGATAGTAAAAAGAAAAAAATCAGTAGTCGTTCCTAATTTAAAAATAGCCTAACAAAATAAAATTAATAAACAATTACAACACAAATACGTTTATTTTTCATAATTCTAGATTTAACAACTGAAACTAAATTACGCGAGGGTTATTTATCACTCATCTTGTTTTCGACAGCAAGCTTGGCCAGAGGGAAGACTTCTTGACATTCCTGTGAAGGTAGATAATACCGCCCTAGTAACGGTTAGACACCACACAGACGCACGTGGCCACATCGGTAATAGTAATTAATATGTTTACCACCGTGTGCAGTTTACATAGTCGCGAATTTTTAACAATTAGAACAAAAAAGTACTGAACTGATTCTAAACTGCTAAACTATATTTTTTTTGGGATATTTATTACTGGTTAAGCTTAAGCATACTCTTTATAATTCCCAAAATTAAATGAATTTTAATAGAGCTACACAGTTCTTTAATAAATGGAATTTCCCCCGATTCTCGGATGTTGGGTCGTGGCATCAACGTAGCAGCGTCGCGCATAATTGAGAACGTACTGGAACAGGAGGCGCGAAAGAAATTATAGTCGGCTCGGAGTGGTTAACTACGCTTTAACAGATGTACCAGAGTAGAAATCATTAACAGCAGATCTTGCTCCAAATGATTTCCGAAAATTTTCTTTAGATAAAAGAGTCCAACCGTTACTCATTCATGCGACAAACATAGGAAAGGACAGCCTATGTTTTCCTAGAGTGCAAAGGAGTAGCCACACAAGAGGCTTGTACAAGAGTACATGCACATGCCTCTTGTGTGGCGGGATAAGCTCCTGGAAGCTAGTGAATACTCAAGGCTTTTATGGTTCTGAATCGAGCAAGGAAAGCTCTATTTGTCATTCGATATCCGAACGCGTATTGTACAGACTGAGTCGAAATTCGAAAATAAGGCCTTTCACAATTTTTTACCGAACGTGTTTTATGTGTATTGTGTTCATAGTTTTTATTACAGAAAAAAAATAAGAATCTACACTACTTCTAATAATATAATGCAAATATAATTTTCATAAAATATCATTAGTAATTTAAGCAAACAGACACATTATTACATAGAATTTGTAGTAACAGAACCTGGAAAGAATGAGACAAGCGGCTACATATTTATTGATGCGAACACATGCGGCTGATTGTGGCGCATCTTAATGTAACATATAAGTTTATTTATTGTTATGGTACATACCCGAGTTCGCCACATTATCAATGGTACCGTGGTGTTTCTGGTAGTACGGACGAATAATGCGATGGTAGATGATCAGTGAGCCGTTGTAGTCTGTAGGTAGATAGCACCATATAATGAAGATGCACTGGGAAAAATAAAAATAAAATATTAAAAGTAGCATTGTATACCATAAAATTAGTCAAAATTCTAAAACCGTACTGAATAAATTGTAAAATATTTCTTTAAGGCCAATTTAACTATGTAACGTATATAACATTCATCATAAAAATCATCTCAGCCAAAAGACGTCCACTGCTGGACAAAGACCTCCCCAAGGTTCGCCACAACAACCGGTCCTGTGGCCTGAAGTTACACATTACCTCAAATGATCCAAGTAAACCATAAACATGTAAGCACATAGATATAGAACTGACTATTCACAACTCGACAAACTGCTGACCACCTTGTATAGTTAAAACTAGCTACATCATAATAATATGTAATCTCTGTTATCTCTAGTACATGTAAGACATCATTATGCCTGCTTAATGAAAAAAATGCAGTTATTTTGTTTAAAACATCAAATAGCCTTGTTGATATTTTTGTGTATTTTAGTTTTGTAACCAATCATTTACCTAAGTATGAATTATTGTGTCTGATTTTTGGTTATTGAAAGTTTGAGTTAGCTAGTTAAAGTATTGAAATGGGACAAAATTTACATTAAATATCAGTATGTTATTTCCATACATGGGCCTGGTCACAAACATATTTAATATAATCATTATTATGCATTATTAAGCTAGCAAAAGTTGTGTAAAATACTCGCACAATATAAATAATTTAAACAGCTCTGCAATGAGAAGCAAATGAGATTTGTTACTGAGTAATTATCTTTCGAATCCGTAATGACTTGCAAGAAATTAAAACAACAGTAACTGTCTTTATATAAGCTGAGTTTTATATTCGTAATTCTTATAATATCAAAAATAGTTTTAGTGATACAGATTAAAGGCATGGCAATTAATGATGAAACAATTTCTACCAAAAGATGTAATCGTTTACATCTGTTTCATACACTGTGGAATTGGATGCAAAAGCTAATTAAACCGGTCACCAATTACCAGCTAGTGCTAGTCATCTAGATGATGGAACAGTGGCAATAATATGTGATGGACCACTTTCACAACTAATTAGGTATAGAAAGGCCCAAACCTGAAACTGATTCATACTTATTTAAATGGTCTGTGAAGAAATTTTATAATATACATGCACTTTAAAAACAATTAAAATGTAATACAAAAAATATACCACCAACACTTTTGGATTTTGTTTTTAACATAAGGCAATTCCTACAGTTACACCTACAGTTAGGGTCACTGCTCTGCTGTTTCTTCTTATCTTTTAAATAAACTCCCTATTTTAGGCTTCCCTCCTATTACATAAGTAAATAGTGTTCATTTAATAAGCTTCTGGCAATCTCTTTTGGTACAGCCGTGAGTAATATGTATATGTATTATTTTCCAATAAATACTTCATTGAATACAAAATGAATTATTCAAAACTGTCCATTTGTTCCAGACATTTTAAATAGTAACTCTGCAGTAAACACTAACTCACCAGTGTGTTTAAACAAACAGAAACAAAACTCATCAGCCATCATATGTCAGTTTAGATAAAGACTTGCAATAGCTTGAATTTATCTTGTACTACAAGTCCTATATAGTGCATTAGATATTATGGCACAGCAATAATTTTAGTCATTATTACAATTGAATGTTGTTCAAATTTTATTATTAATTAGATAAGTAGGGTCATTGAGCCGGTTACGCGACCACCATCAGTAGGCGACTATTTGACAGACTAAGTTATTTTAAATCAAGATAATAGCATTTCTAGAAGCAACAATAACAAAAAATAAATCTAATGCGTTTTTTAAACAGTTATCAAATAAGAATTTACATAGTTTAAAACAAATAAATTTTAAATCAATATGAGAGACGAGTTAGTGGTGTGGTTTATTAATTATTTAAAATAAAAAAAAAAATTGTGTGCGGCGCTCAATGGCAAGTTTAAGTACTGATTTTATATTTTACAGGCAAGTTCTGTCTTTAATTTGGGCAATCGTTAAGTTTTTGAAATTATTTAGTTCCATTTTGCTATGTCCATGCATAATATTAAGATAAAACTCGGTGGTCGGTAACAGATGTGACAATATGTCAAGAATGTTATGAAGACAATATGACGAATACAGCATTTTTGTTTTGCTTAGTATGATCATAATAGTTCATACAGATCTTCTACAATTTAGAGTGTAGCATTGTAAAACTGCAAAGATGCAATTGTTTAAAAAAAAAACACTACTAGGTTTTTTTTTAAATTGCCCACAAACATAAGCTAAAAAGGTGGTAGTTAACCAACACAATTGAAATGAAGACATTAGTTTGTATCCGCAAACTTAGATAAATATAATAATTTGTAATATTATAATAATGTGTTGAGTGTGATCACATGTATTTTATGTTTGTTGTTTAATTAAATGTCTGTTTAATCATTATTTTAGCAAGTATCTATATAGTCCTGTTAATAAAACAGCAACTCTTGACTGTCCTGTTAGTCAAGTGGTTAGTGACCCTGACTGCTTAGCCAGAGGTTGTGGGTTAAATTCCCACCTAAAGCAAATAATTGTGTGATTAGCACAATCATTTGTTCTGTACCTGGGTGTCATTAATCTATATGTATGTGATATTATAGCATAATTATGTCTGTCAGCCAGTCTGATTACCATAGTATGGACTCTACCTAACTTGGGATCAGACTGATGCATGTGAGATGTATAAAATTATTATTAACTTTACATTGATTATTATTTGAGAATTTCAATTAAAGCATTGTGCTCAGATGTGATATTTAAGTTAAGTAGCAGTAATTATTGCCATTGGAGTTGTGTGCTTTGGTATGCTACAAACGAGTACTTACTCCTAATATATACATTTAGTTTAGCCAGAGAGTAACAAGAATATGCAATATGTTACCTACATTACTAGTATTACTTTTCTTTTAAAGAATTAAAAATATATAATTGATTTCTTTAAGTAAAAAAAAAACCTCATTAATTCATTCTATTGCATTACAGTTTGGATTGTATATTTGCCCATTAACATGCTGCTTTCAGTGTTTATAACCAATGTAGTTCATTTAAGTGTTAACATTTAATTAATGATGAAACCTTTGTTCTAGACATGAAAGTAAAAATTTATGACTAATAAGGCACTAGTAATAGCATTTTCTAAGATAAGGAAAGTCAGAAAGGAAAAGAGTTCAGAGAAACAGTATGTTATCAGCAATTGTGAGATTACTTCACACAGATAAGGAAATTTATCCTATTTAATAGAATGTGCCTGTATAATAGAATACTGAATTATAAATAATTTACCTAATAGTGTTTAAGCAGACAATGAATTCAAATTTGCATAATTTTAAAAGTTTATGAATAATTAAACTTTTACTGTAAATCCTTCACTTTACTTGTGACAACTTTGATGAGCATATGTAGCAGCACTTACCTTGATTAACCAGTAAAGCGGGAACCATCCAACAATGAAGTTTGAGAAGTATTCTACACAAGAGAAGCAAGCATATACCACCCAGTATGTCAGCCATTTAGTGTCATCGTCTTTCATTGGTGACTCCAATGCCTTCATAGACATATACGCCGGGTATAAGAAACCAATTAGATTGCAAATCAATCCAGCTCCAAATCCGAACACTAAATATAACCCAGTGAACGCCACCAAACCTGCACAATACAAAATAAATATTAAAACTACAGCTAAAGATATAAATAAACGTGAAATAAAAAACCTAACGTGCCTATGAAAAGATGTAGTCGATCCACCCCGGTTTTTTGTTCAGCTTTATCGAAATACTTCGTCCATGGTTTGCTTTTGTCGTTTAGGTTGCGCTCCAAATTATCTTTATACTCTTGGAATTTGGCAGCCATTGTGGGAGAACCAAATAAATGTGTTTCTGGCCGGGAATAAGTGATGGCACTTTGGCAGACAATCTACGACGGCTGCCTGATGACAAGATAGTGACAGAATGACAGTTATTTTGTAATGGCGCCGCCAACAGACAGAATCCAACATGTATTTTGGGTTGCCATTAAATAAGAATTTTATTCGATAATAATCAACTATTAAAATCTCAAATGCTGAAAGAACTGTCTGCGCCTGTAAATTCGTTTTCAGCATTTTTAGTTCTGTATTCAGCCATTAGAATATAACATTTCAAAATATATAAAAATTATTTTTAATAATGATTTATTATTGCTCATAAACTTAAAAATGTGAAAATAACTATATTTTAGGAATAAAATAGTAAATATAATTTGGTTAATCTCAAAAGGCTTTTTTTATAAGAGAGTGTGTGAAGTTCATTGTTGTTAAACACAGGCTTACTTGAAAGGAAACAAGAGCCAGATGTATGTTACCAAATCAAGACTGTGGCTGTCACAACCACCGAGATCATCTCCATAATTTTTGTTTTAATGGGTAAGTATTTCGCTTTTGGAGATTCGAGATGAATAATTACAACCATGGATGTTTACTTGCGTCATGACGTAGTGCGATATTGCGATATATTTATTACAACTTCAATACGTTACGTTCAACGCGAAGTTGTACCTACGTGTTAGTTGCAATTTCGTTGTCATGCAGTCTACCTTTTAGGCTTGAAAGGCACTTGCATTTAGCCGTAATCCCGTAATGCGGAGTGTCGTTGTGGTTCGCCACAACACATCGGTATTGGTTGTAGGCTCCGGTTTCCGCATTTAGACTCAAGAATGGTCCTTTATCCGTCGAGTAAAGGTCGGCTAGGTAAGGCCAACCAAGCTCCTTCCAGAAGCACAGAAGCCTCTTGGGGCGTTCAAAGGCTTGTTTAGGTACGGCTGTCATGTCCCTCCAACACAAAGGGAGGATCCTCCAACGAGGCGAGGTGATCATGCCTGGCGGGCCGCGGCCTAACGGTTATTGTTGGCAAGTTGAATATATATATTATTGTTAATATGGCGATACAGGACTAGTAGTTACTCCGTAGTTGTGTGTGTTCGTTAGATGGCGCTGTATGTATACACCGTATGTGGAAATCACCACAGGCTTTCATTAGCGATTTGTATCAGGTATGATACCTGCCCTTTGTGTGGCCATTCCCTCGCATTTCAGGATTACGATGGCGGCCGTTTGTTCTGCTTTTTGACATCGATGTGAAGATCATGCGAAGAGGACTGTCCATGGCATTCATGGTGAATAGTCGTCCGTTCAGGGCTAGGTGTCCTGTTATAGTTCCTACAACTTGACTGCACGTTTTACTTCTCTTTGCAGTGCTGTGTTCTACGTAGTTTGCTTGGATGAATATGTTAGTTTATTGTTCCGTCACCATACGAACAATGACTCACATAAATTGTAATCAAAGTTAGTAACTTTAATTGAGTAGGATCAGATCGAGAGATATCTAATCTAACATTAAACCTTTTTCCAAATTGGTAAATTAGATTAAAGCTATGTATATTAATGGTTCAGGCTTTCATTATATCGAATTGTTGTATTTGTACATGTACAGTCTTAACGAACCAATAACAAGCAAACTACGCAGGATAACAGCACTGCAAAGAACAGGAAAACTTGACACAAATCCTATATAGTAGGTCATCCTATAAAGGAGGTTTTCCTTTCTAAGGAGAGGCCCATGTCTAGCAGTGGGCTATTGAAGACTGTTGATGATGATGATATATATTTGACGACTTGAGAAAAATCTCTGGCCTCTCTGGGAGGCCTTCGTTCAGCAGTGGATGGCAAAAGGCTGATGATGATTAATGATGATGGATGATGATACAAGATTAAGGTATACTTTACTTATTATATTTAGTGCCTTTGTTTTTACGTATTTTTACGTTTTTCTTCCTAGTTTTTGTTTCTTTGTACGTATTTAGTTGTACATTGCTATTTCAATTACTTTACGCACACATGACTATGACTCGGGAGCTACGGGATGAATAGGGGTGGTGACACTGTATTCCTAATCCGGTATCACACAGATATTTGTTGTTGTTGCCCAGTAAATATTGCACTGGACTCCACGGATGGCATAGCGGTTTAAGCGGTCGCCACGACGCTTCCTACTGCGCCGAGTGTTGTGGGTTCAAACCCCCTACATGGGACAACATTTTGTGTGATCCACAAATTGTTGTTCTGAGTCTGGCTGTACTTTGTGTCCGTTTCATGTATGTTTGTAAAGTCCCCCGTGACACAGGATTTATTCCTAGTGCGGGAGTGTCTTTTCTATATTTATAAAATGCCTAAGCCATGTACATGACGTGTATGTTTGCTTGCCAGTCATGTTTATGGATAAAGGTTTCTTGAATCTAGGAAACTTCCTTCCAAGGGTATCCACAAGTCCCTTGCAATAGACTCATATGTGACGGAACACCTTGTGGTATTAGTCGGTTCGATTGCGACATATCAATCCACCGTCAGCCCAATGTGGCGATGACCCGTGGGGGTGTCACAAGAAAAAAATATGGAAATTACTATATCACTATGGGTTTTACACCCGTGTATCCATTGAATCTACTTGGATAAAAGATAGTAGTGAATGTGAGTTATGTCAGTTAAATACCTATATAGTCTAGATAGTTTGCTCGCTTCCTCAAACTTCCACAATTAAAAAATAAACAATAGCATGGTATATATAAAATTAAAAAAAAACAATTTGTGTTTTCTTATTTTTTAATCATTTTAAAATATGAAAAGCATTAACATTTTTATCTTTGTGCTTCAAAAAATAATATTTGTTCAATACATCGAAATGGACATGAGCTTAAATATTTTTAATTTTTTAAGCCGATACAATGTTGATCTATCTACTTAAATAAACGTTGAACAGCTAAAAAAGTTAGATTACAATGTGATAATTTCAACCTGGAAAAATGACCCCTTAAGACGGAATTCTCGGAATTCGAACCTGTGACAGCTTGCTTACGAGAATATTTTGCACATTGATTCTTAGTTATAGTGTAAATAATAGTAATAGACGACATAATTTAGTAATTAGGTTTAAAAAGAGAAGCCTAATAATTCCAAAATCATTATTTACTGTAAATGCCATCAACTAATACGCGTGTACTTTTATTCTGTGGACGTCCGTTAATTCTGAAATGTGCCAATTTGAATTTACAAGAGAAATAGCTCAGCAAGTGTTTCTAAGCGTCTTAGCTGTTTTTATTTAGATTTAGTAGTATGAGGAATGTGCAAACATTTGGACCAGCCACTTTATTACATGCGTTAGACAGGTTTTGTTGATTTACACGGCTCATAATGAACTTTACGATTATCCATTCCATTTTGCACGTCGTTAAGCAAAAAATCTTTAAATTTCACACAAAAATAGCTTTATGTGAATTATTGACATTATTGAGAAAGCATCTACTTAGTAGGCGTCACCAATACTTACTACTGTCTTAGGTTTTTATATTTGTAATCAGATATTTATATGATGTTCAAAGAAATGCTTACATTAGATTACCGCTTCTCTTATGAAAGTTTTAAGACGATTAATAATAAAAACTTTTTACACTAAATTTACTTTATAAAAAAACACGTGTGCGGTCTGATTTAACAGGTCACTATTAGAGAGCCTAGTCTAGCCAAATAATTTAAAAACAATTTATATCAGTAATTCCTGGAATATTTCTTTATTTTTCTTTCTCTGTAGGTATAAGGCCTTGTGTAGTAAAACAAAGAGTCCGTATACACGTCCGTATACGTACATTAGATACCTATGTAAATCGGGAACGGATTATTTAGATACGATACGACATTTTAGTCACCCGCAACATATTTCAAAAACACACTAAAAACTTGTAAGTAGATTTTGTGCACAGATACTTTAATTTTAGGTTTGGTAACGATGAGAATGTGATGACCATGTATAAGGGAAAGAGATAAAATCACAGATCTCTTGATTTTTAAGTGGTATTTTTTTTTGTGCGTTACATTGTGCAAAAAAAAGTGTCAGGGAGAGGGCACACAGGGGATTTTGTCAAGGTGTTTTTATTTTGTCACTCTTGTCACTGTCTTATTCTAACGATTTCAATCTCAATAAATTTCCTTACACTTCACTAGAATGGTGAGAAACTTACGACTACTATCAAAAGTCAACCGTGTTTGCTCTCCTTTAGAGTGTAGAAAACATTGAAAAGTATTCATTTAAGTATATAGTGGTTACAGATAAAATAGAGATCGTATATAGAAAAACACAGTTAATAGTAATCATCTAATACTAAGCTAGACATAGATTATATAAATTGGAATGAGAATCCAGCTAAAGAAAAGCTGAAATAGTTTTTTTTTTCGTAAAGTTAAATACCTCATCTATGACAAAAGTACAAATACTTTTCTATCTATCCTCTTGAAATAATGTAATGAGATTGGTCTCAGTCTTATTCTATACTATGGTATGTAGTGTGGTTAGAGGAATGAGCTATAATGATTTTTTATATTAAAAATATTTAAAACAGTAACATTAATACAATAACATTGTTATAAAAATGACATTATTAAAAAATCCTATCTACATTGTATTTTAGTCTATGGATTTTATACAATTGGGGACTTAAATGCAACGTCTAACGAGGAGTTTTTGGAACTGTGTCTATATTAAATAAAAAAATAATCCAACCTTTGAAATACCAGGCTCCGGTTATTTATATTTACGCACTACAAATTTAATCAACATACCTATTGCCAGTGTTTATTTTACGTTTAATTTTTTTTTAATATAAAGGTAGTAAATACTTTACAATTTTGCAATGTCATTGACAAATCCACATGTTTCTAATTTTTCATCTAGCATTTTCTAACTAAATAATGTTTGAAAACAATGGAAGAAATATTCATTGTAAAATGTATATGTATTTCTATATTACGAGTATAATATTTGGTGTCATTGATTTACGAAATAACATTACATGGTTTACTAGGTAATTCAAAATCACAGACTTTTGGTTTAACAAACGAACACCGCGTTAAAAAGAACAACGAAACAAATCACGCATTTCAACATTATGATCTCGCTTTTTTTTAAAGCGTTTAAAATTATCGAAACGTACATCAAAAAACATAACTACTTACATGAATAGTATCTTTTGCCTTGGGGATATTTTAGCAGTTAAGCTTTTTTTGCTTCAGAAATAGTTTTCGCAATAGTCTATTTAGCATTAACTTGTCAAAGATCATTTTAAATATAGAATATGCTGTACAGTTTTATATAGAAAGTTCAATGTAATTATGTAGATATGTAGGTATTTTTCAACATTCACAAGAAACTGTTAGAACATTAGAATAATAATGCATAGAACGATAGTTTAATATCCAAAAAGACAATTGATATAGGTGTTAGTAGAGTTACGCTTATTTATGCTCGGCGACACGCGCACTAAACTTTAAGTTGTTACTATCAGAATCACATTTTGCCCAAAAGTTGGGAAATTGGAACTACTTCTTCCTTAGGTCATTAAAGGTTTCTCCACGAACAAAAAGGATTTCTTTTTTTAATTTTATTGATTCCTTTTAAAGTTATTATAGTATTCAGGCAAAGATATAAGTACATTTACTTTTTGTTCTGTTCTTTTTTTCACCGAGATGTTGCTATGGTGTTACACCTGTTAATGTGTATTTGTGAATTTTAAATTTTAGTTTATAATTTAAAAATATCTTTGGCGCTATCGTTTATTAATATTTGGTAACTGTATTGAATTGTGTGTAGTTTACCTGTACATTAATGATTTTATAATTTGTATCGGTTTGATTCCCTAATAAAATAAAAAAATGAAAAATGTGGTAAACCATTTTAAATTAACTTGCAACATTTAGTCATAATGCTGTTTGCCGATATTTAGTTTTTTTTATATTTGCTTGGGGATATGTTTTTCATTAATAGATTAGAATAAACTTAATATTTACAGGTGGAATGTTAATTATGCTTTTTCGATGTGCTGTGAAGCCCGTCTATTGCACAAACTGTCATTTTGAATTAAAATTATGAGCTGTTAGCACTACAACTTGACCTTGAGCACTGACGCCAGCGGCCGTTCGGTTACTGAGCCAAAATGGCTTAGTTTTACTTGTCTCACTTATCATGCGTGTTTTCGGTTTCTAGGCATTGTTATTCTAAGGTTAGAACTATATTAATAAGTGTGTACTTATGTACGTATATTTTAACAAATGTATGGCTCAGTCCTTCGATCAAAATGTACCATAGATATACGTTCATACGTAATTACGCATTTTATTATATCATTTTATTATATCGTTTCTTATTATTGCTTTTACAGTTTTTTTATGCTTGTAAAGTATAATTCGATTTTTTTACTACAGTCTGAACGACACGCTACTGATAACTGTGCATATGTGTTATATCGATTTTGGCACAGTTTAGTACCATTTTTTTTCACCAAACACCTATGGTATAAATGATCGAAGATTTTCTTGTTCTTGCTATCCTAATAAATGGACATCTATACAATATAATGGATGTAGACAAAACATAGCGGACAGAATATTTAAAATTATATGTATTAAAATATTTTATTAAAATATATTAGCTAAATACATTTTAATAGATCCATCCAGCTGAAATAACTTTGAGACTATGCATTAAAAATAAATCCAGCTCTTTGTCCCTATCACACTTAGTACTGATATACATTTTTAAATACGTTTTTAATACCCTACGATTACATGAAGACCATTGATTTCAATTCTTATATTTATCTGATATCTTTCTACTCTAATGTTTTTTTTTCTGTTTAAAATATAACATAGGTTAAAAATATCGCAAACGGTTATTTTTTACTAATCGGTTGTATCATTTTATAGTACGATACTATCGCTATTCTCGATTAATAGTTATGCTTCGTCCAAGAGGCGAAAGCCTGGTGATCTGTTACACAGGTTTTTTCTAGTTTAACGAATCTATATTTGTATTTCCTAAATTATATCTACCTTTGTGATGAGAGAACTAAATACATTATTTTATTTTATTTTTTATTTATTAGTATCAATAACATGGATAGCATTGATAGTGTTTAAGCTATTAAAAAGTATGCCATAATTTATTCAATTGAAAATATCGATATTATCAATACCACTGAAATTACCATTATTAAAAATCAATTATCGATAACGAAACTTCCGTTATAGGAATAATATTTAAATAAAGTAAATTTATAAGTAAGTTAATTATAAGATAAAGGCCCAAATTGTACTTAAGGACCTAAGAAAAGCTTTCTCTTTGTGTGTCTCCAGGTGTCTGCTGCAGAAACAGCAAGAATGTAAATCAATGGTCTTTCAAGAATATAGAAAAATTTAATAATCTCATATCACCCCGACAACAACTATCTCACTGTATCCGGCTGCACAAAGTGCACCGCCAACATCACTACACTTTGTCCTTATTGCTGAGATTTTGCACGTATAGTCGGACCCGATGACGGATCGCCTTTGGAGACTGTTACGATGCTTTGTGCTTCTTTCGTGCGTCTCGACGGTGGTCATTCTGCGGATGTGGTTTTAATTCTCTGCAGTCCAACTGAAAATAATAATCATATTGCAAATTTAAATCGAAAAGGAAAGTCAGCAAAAAGACAGTATATTTCGAGAGTCCTGTCCATTACAATTACAAATAGGAAGAATTTGCATCCCTGGCATCTTCGACCTATTGTAGTTCATTTTTTTTTAATTTAAAAAATACTATTTTAAGAATTAGAAATATATCATGTGTAGCGGAGGACTTAACAAACATACATCGAACGGACACAAAGAACACCCAGACTCAGAACAACAATTTGTGAATCACACAAAGTGTCGTCTCATGTGGGGATCGGATCCACAACACTCAGCGTAGTGGTGAGCGGCGTGGCGACCGCTTAAATTAGGAAAATAGTATGAAGAAGACATCATAAAATTCAGTTTATATCTCGGAGAACCGTCCTTAAATATGTTGTCTAATATTTAATAGTCCCTTGCAATATTTGCACCTTGCAGATATATTTTTGGACAGACCGGCAAAATAGCAGTGCCCTTACCAACGTCTCGTCATCTGGCACCCTAGATAGTAGATCTAAAACTTCATTATTTGGTATTGTATGGGGCCGGAGGATTTTTCTTGTAAATTTGTTAATACCTGGAAGAAAACAATATTATTTATTTTGTACACTATTCTTATCGGTACCAAATCCCAATCCTTACTCTTACATAAAGAAATGTTTGGGGATATATTTTCTATCTCGACCTAAGTTTAGTAAAAATATATGAAGTACAGAATCAGATGAAATTTGGAATTTTAAAAATTCTATTACAAAAGATTTAAAAGCTTTTTAACTTTGCAACTTGGAAAAAATATATTTTAACCGACGCACAATTTGTCTACCACTTCAAGTTTTTCAAAATTTCAAAGTTCAAGTGATATAAGGAGCATTTACGAATTAGTCAACTGTATGTTAAGTATTACGTACGAGTATATTACACAGAAGTAGTCATTTGTTCATGTAATTTGAAAAACGGTTATGTGTTTTTTCTTTTAAATCAGTTTAACACGTTACCAATGTCGGTTAATATAAAGAAGAAAAAGACAATGTGTTTCATATAAATTTAGTCTATTAAATTAAAAATCGACGTATCTTTAGCATCATAGAGCCTTAACAAAAGACTCTGTAGAGTTTCCTTTTACAATATTTTTAATCTTAAAACAAACTTACCCCAAGCCATCAGCAGGTATCTTAGTGGTATTACGTATAGAACTAACATTGCTCCAAATAACATTATAATCGCTAAATAACTTAGATATGGCACTGTGAAGTTAGTCAGGCTGAAAACAAAATGGAAAACAAAGGTTAACAGTAATAATTTGACTTGACGTCATGACGAATGAACAACATGGTTAATAAAAAATAATAATTGACGCGCGAAATTTTGATATGTAATATAGAACTGCAATTTCAACAGTTTAACAAAATTGTTAAATGTTGCTTCATCAAATAAAAAAAAATCAAAAAGTATTGTAATAGCCAGTACCGTTTAGTCGTTGAATAATGAGAAAAGGACTTAGTCGTCATTGCAACTACTACTTAAGAGTCAGTCAGCATCACGGTTCGTTAACACAACTTTTAAAGTCGACATAAACATACCTACCTAAATCATTTTTCTTAACCTTAAGCATTTCTTGTTGATGGGTGCTTCTATTCAATTAATGATTTTAATGAAATGACATGATAAAATAACTTGCATTGACATAGATATATGTAACAATTTATTCTATTAAATATTTTTACTCCTTGACAAAAAAATAGATTTTTTACGTTTGACATACTAGTTATTTAAAATTTTTGCCTGTTTAAAATTCAAACTATTTTATCGTTTATATTGTTACTTTTTTTTATAATTTATTTATTTCATTAATGTTTATTTGGTTTTCAACATTTGAAGTTAAGATTCTTTAGAATCGTTGTGATTTGAAACTCGATGAGATAACTCGTTACGTACTCGTTACGATAAAGACACAAACACATAAATGTATAGGAGAATGAGATAGAATACATAACACATTATTTTTAATATAATATTTTGACAGTGTGATTATTAATCTTATCTTTTTATTTAATACTAGCTGGTACCCGCACTTCGTTCGCGTGGAATTTGGAAAACGCTGCCTTAGTCGATTCCCTGGTCGGGCAAAATTTGATAGGGTTTTATTAAAATTAAAAAACAACAGAAAATAAAAGTCTGCAGTTTCTCTTCAAAAAATGTGTATAAATTGCACACACTTTTTTTTTTAGATTAAGATAATCGTATATCAACACAATGTAATATTGTTTACGACATAAACAAATCTATTTTCTCATTAAAGAAAATATAAGATCATCATACTTTTTGACTGCTTCTCCTAGAGAGGCGACGTAACCTATCGCGTTCTGCACAGTCTGTGTCACCTCTTGTATCGCTTGCAATCTCTCTTTTAGTGACTTTTTCTCCTCCTGCAACAATAAGAAAAAATCGAAACTGCCACAATATTCCGATTTAAAATATCGAGTGTTGCCCTATAAAAATTGTCATTTATGGTATAGGGAGACAACAGACAGGTCGCGTGATGGTAAGTGTCATAAGCGCGTTGCCTTACTTTCAGTGCCTCCCATCTGAGTCCGAGGGAAGGGGAGGGATTAGGCTCCGGTGTAATGTAATGAAAGTAATGAAAGACAGCAATAATGTAAATGTAACATATACATATGGGGAAATGAAATTGTATTTTTAAGTAATAAAAAAACTAATAAAAAATAAATTTGACGTAATACCTTGTCAGCCTCATCTTCATCGTCTTCTTCAGCCAACAAATCGTCATCATCTACTGGCACTAGTAAAATATTCCCAACTGAAAATGTCAAGCATGTTTTAGGAAAAAGAAACGATTTAAGTTTCTTTGTGATATTAAAAAAACTTGGGACGTTGATTTGATATTTAACGACTAATTAACAAATAACGAGCAAAATTAAACCTTCCATCTATTACAGGCCATGTCCTAATATAATTATCGTACAATAATGTCATTGTCTTCGATCTTTCGCAACAGAGTATATATTATAACTGTACCTAAGTACATAATTACAGAAGTCTCACTTAGATACGACGGGGTAGATCCGTAAAAAGTTATCAAAGTAATCAAAAAATAATTTGGTGACGTAAACTTTTGGGTATGTTTTTTTTTACAACAGTCTCTATTGCTTTTCTGCTCTATTTGACGGCTGTGTACAAATATAATTCAATTATAAAAGTATATAAGTATTCTATCAGTCAATCTAGCTTTCATAGTACAAACTTTGCTTAATTTGAAACTAGATGGCATTGTGTGCTAGGTATCCGAATTATTATTATTAATTGTATTATACACACAGCCAGTACACTTAAAATACAATATAAAAATTGCATTTAAAGTTGTAGAGGGACAATCGTCACATCACAATCCCTTCGAGTTGGGCAGACTGGAGGAGGATAGGACGGTGATGCACCCGCCGGGTGTTATACGCGATTACACTGTGTCAAGTTTTATATTAACTTGTACATACATTATTATCCCGCTACGCCCGCTGTCTTTTAAGACCTTTAGATCTTTAACAAGAAAGAAGCTCCTACTTCAAATATATACGCCATTTTTTATAAGGAATGCAGAATAGAGACATCTAGTTTCAGACAGAGACTCTTTTCTAAGACCCTCAGATTATACCTATGCGTTGGGTGGGAACTAACTGTAGGTAGTGCATCTTGTTGATAGTATTTTGTGACTAATAAGTATAATAGGTTATTAACGGTATTACATGCACATTCCTTTAGGTACATGCACATTTTTGGTGATTAGGTTATATGTGCTATTTTAGGTACTTATTACATCGGCTTCTAAAAATCTATCGGCACAATACTTGAATATGAAAATCTAATTTTAAATCGAAGCAACAATTACTTTTTTGTCAAAACGTCGCTTAAACACGTAAATTAGAAAGAATATAAATAAACTTATTAATTTTATTCAACCATTATTTGTCACAACAGGATAATTATTAATTAAATTAGTAAAAATACCTCTAAATAAAAAAATAAAAAAACAGAAAAAAATAAAGTACTTCTCCATCAAATTTATTCTATATTTTATAATCTAATATAAAAAACCCTGAACAGTTAGCATTTAATTGCCTTTAAGAAGGTTTAAAACTATAAAATAAGGGGCTGCAGCCCTTAAGAGTACAGCAGTGAACATAAATGCTGTTAAAGATGAAGAGAACTTACGCTGGTAAAAATTACATTTGAACCAGATATTAAGTTGTACCGTTTGTGCAATAAAAAGCGGTTTTAATAAGCAAATATAACAAAACGCTTGCATTGGAATATCGCCACGTGAAATATTTATAAACGTACGTACATAGCAGAGTGTAATTGTGGTTTTATATGAAGCAAAGCATACAACATCTATCAACTTACTGGGCTCAATGGGCGCATTATCTACTAGCGAGGATAAGAAAGACAACCGACCGCCAGAGAAATATCTGACGAATAGCCTGAACTCGACTAAAAATAAAAAATGACTGGTGTTGAAACAAAAAGAAAACAAAAGTGTAAAAATAAGTGAACGTTAATTTTTTTGTGTGTTCGATGACCAATAGCATGAATCCAAAGAAAAAAAACTGGTGTTGGAACTGTTTTTTTCTTTTTTTAATAACAAGGATTTTTTTTTAAAAGACAACTCCCGCATTAGGAATAAATCCTGTGTTGCGAGGGACTTTACAAACATACATGAAACGGACTTAAAGTACACCTAGACTCAGAACAACAATTTGTAGATCACACAAAGTGTTGTCCCATGTAGGGTTTGAACCCACAAAACTCGGCGCAGTGGGAAGCGCCGTGGCGACCGCTTAAACCACTACGCCATCCGTGCAGTCATGACTGGACCAAACAATAACAACTTTATTTCATGGCGTCAAACGCAAAAAAGAAGTTAGTTTTAGTCGCCGCTGTGTCATACGGGATCATGCGATTATTGTAATAATAAACCTCAATACATCCTTTTCTGTTGAGGCATTTATGTTTTGGTTTTAGCTAAGAATATCACATACACACCTACATACATTGCACTTCTTTATGGCCATCATGTAAAAGTTTCTCATTAATGGGCTGTTGTGTGCATGAATAATGTCTTTGAAACTATTATGTGTTGTGTTTCAACCTCTTTTTATAATAATATTAATAAAAATTATAATTTAAATATTACAATACGTGATTAAGGTTGTTAGCATAACAGTAATTTTATGTCTTCAAATAACGAAAATAGTAGTATGTTCCGTAATATTTTCTTGTGTAGAAAACTATTTAATACCGTGGATAGCTACAAGCTAAATAAGTCTAAAAAAGCTCTCTTTAATAAGTAAAATAAAGCTCTACTGCTAACTACTGCTCTAAGAAAAAAATGGTGGAGAATTTACCAGTCAGCCGATAGATAAGCCAGTTTCTCATGAAGAACATGAGTATCAGGAATGGAAGCATCCACATTTCATAATAATAGCAGAATGCGAGCCAAACCAGGAGACCCATAAACGATCTTATTCTGGACTCCCATTCGAAACAATCTCTGAAAAAGAGAAACGATTAATCTATACAAATAAAGAAAATTGTAGTGTCTGTTTGTAATGTCAGTATACTCGTAATAGGCTTTTTCACACCGTTTGCACGATACCTATACCTAAAAACCAGTTTCAATATTTTTTGTCTGTCTATCTATTTGTTCTGGGTAATCTTCAAAACGGCTGGACCGATACTGATTATATTTTAATGGCAGGTAGCTGTCTATATAAGGAGTAACATAGGCTATTTTTCCTCTCAGAAAAACCTTATAAAATGTTGCTCGGTCTGGGAATCGAACCCGAGGCCTCATGGACTGCAGTCGCATACCGTACTACCACTAAGGCAGCGCTTTTCCAATTCCCGCGAACCAATTATTAATTCCCCAAGGATCTTATACTTTAATGGAATAAGTTATCCATCATTAATAAATAGACTCACTGTAAAATCTTGCCGACTTCGATAAACCACATAATGATAGCCTTTAGCCTCATCACATTTCTAATGAACAATTGTCTCTTGAACTTCGCTTCTTGGTGCATGTACTTAGGCTCTTTTGGATTTACTACTCTTATCGCTGCTTTTAACTGCAACAAAATTTAGGTAGTTTATTTGACAGAACTGTTGATATGGTGCTTAGCGACCGCGACTGCTAAGCCACAGATCTTAGGTTCGATTCCCACCCAGGACAAATAATTGTTTGATGAGCATGAATATTTGTTCTAGAATGGAATGCACGGATGGCGTAGTGGTTTAAGCGGTCGCCACGCCGCTCACTACTACGCTCTGTGTTGTGGGTCCGATCCAAACCTTGGGCGACACTTTGTGTGATCCCCAAATTGTTGTTCTTACTCTAGGTGTTCTTTGTGTCCGTTTCATGCATGTTTTTAAAGTCCCCGCGACACAGGATATATTCCTAAAGCTGGAGTTTTTTTTTTTTTAAAAGAAATAAACATAAGTATGTTTATCAGCAGTTTGATCATCATATCACAGAATCTGCCTCTCTTGGGATCAGGAGACCGTGTCTGAGATGTGTGAGGGTATATTGTATTATTTCCTTAAGTAGGTATTCATCATCATCAACAGCCTTTACTAGTCCACTGCTGGACATATGCCTCTCCTTAGAAAGGAGGTTTTGGCCTACTATACCAGGTTGGCCAGACGGGTTGGTATTGGGTTTGTTTCAACTTTTCTTTGCAGTGCTGTTGTTCTACGTAGTTTACTCCCTTAGTCAGCTCTTACGACACCCACGGGATGAATATATTCGTTTCTTATTCGGTCACCACACGGACAATGACTCACATAAATTGTAATCAAAGTTAGTAACTTTATTTATTTATTTATTTATTTATATAGGACAACTTACAAAACATACACTAATACATAATTTACAAACATGTTTTACAATTATTTTCTGAGTGTTGTCTTACTTACAAGTTGCCACGGCATGGTAAGGGACAGTTGCATCTAAGATTATACAATGCAATATCTATAATAATATACGAAACATACAGAACATCATCGAAATTAATTAGAAACAGTGATGCATTTAAAGTGGTGTAAGTCTAAATGACGCAATAACTTTGCTCTTAAAATTTGGAAGACTGTTTTTTTGAAGACTTAAAGTCTTCAAAAAAACAGTCTTGAGATCGAGAGATATCTAATCTAATATGAAACCTTTTTCCAAATTTGTAAATTTATTATTTCGTAGATTAAAGCTATGTATATTAATGGTCCAGGCTTTCATTATATCAAAATGTTGTCTTTGTACATGTACAGTATTAACGAACCAATAAACTTGAACCTAAGATAGGTACCTATTTTCTTTTAAAAAATATGCTAAAGTAATACAAAATATGTGTGGTGACTAAGGACGCAAACTACGCAGGACAACAGCACTGCAAAGAAAAGAAAAACTTGACACAAATCCTATATAGTAGACCATCCTATAAAGGAGGTTTTCCTATCTAAGAAGCCCATGTCTAGCCGTGGGCTATTGAAGACTGTTGATGATGATGATATTTATTTGACGATCGACGGTCTTCATTGCAGATATCGGAGGGGATTTCTCGCTACCAGCCGTCATACGCCATGGCCGGTAGGTCGGTGGTCGCATCCTTCTGCGAAGACGTCATCACGCAGAGGATGCGGCGGAGAGGGCCCGGGGGGACGACCTCCACTCGGACTCAATTCGTCGCCGACGAACCGGGCGGCAGAGGCACGCTTACCACCGCCAAATGCCGCCCTGAGTTGAGGCCGCGGGTGGACGGGACGGGTTTTTCCCTTCACCCGCCATAACGGCCAGCCGCGAGGAGATGACGGCCGCGTGTGCGAATAAAATTTAAGATAAACTCAATCGCCACAATGCCTATTAAGTAGTATATTATAAAGCAGCTTTTTAATATGATTTGCTTTTGCTATATTTCTAAAGCCACCTCTTTTAAAGGAATTTACACACAAGCATAAAACGGCCACAAAGAGCACTTAGACCGTTTAAACCTCTATACCATCCGTGCAGTCAACGATAATTCCAGGTCAGGTTCTATCGCTCCTATTTGAACAAGGTTTTTATGTAATGGTACAGAACAGATATAATACATCAGAGATAAGTGAGTGCTGTTTACATTTGAATACATTAATCAGTATATAATGGTCAAGTACTTTCTATTTGCAAGGACCTTTTTGTAGAGTACTCCTGTGGCCCTCGCGTAGCATGACGCCATCGAGATAACGGAATACTATGTGGTTTTAATTGGTCCGAGTCCCATAAACCACCTTTGGACCCGGTGAAGTAAGGATTCTTAAAGATTTCCACACAAAGAAAAAAAATGTTTACCATACTACATTGCAGCAATAGAAGCAAACATAGCATAATTATATTCTATTTTGTATGCATTTTAGGAGATCACGTAAGAAATGCTTCGCTTATGAAATCCCCTCTCCCGCTGACTCGAGCGGGAGGGACTCCAAGGGCGGCAACGCACTTGTGACTTTTGAGTTGCAGGTGTCCATGTGCAGCGGTAGTTGCTTACCATCAGGTGACCCGTGTGCTCGTTTGCCCTCTTATACCATAAAAAAAAATGGCTAAGAATAAATCGGAATTAGCCATGCTGATTTCTGTACAAGATTTCTTTTGTACAATAATAATAATAACATCACACACACGGCCATGATCCCAAACTAATCAGAGCCTGTGCTATGGTAAACAGACGGTGCTGATGAACAAACTTCTAAATATACATATACTTACATATTATAATATATTACACCCAGGCAGAATAAAATGGTCGTGCTCATCACATACTATTTGTCTGTTCTGGCTTAGTAGTCAGGATCCACTAGACAAACAGGTCCGTCATAACTCTAGATTATTGTAGATAGCAGTGCAGTTAGTAAGTTCATCAACAGGTAATACTTACGGGATTCCAAATGACCAGCATTTCCAAAAGTATCTGTGGATAATTCCCTTTCGCCCGAGCTCTCATTTTTTTGTCCTTCAGCGCGTACCACCGCTTCTCTCCATTCCTAATGCTCAGCAGTGGTATTGCCAGCTTCCCTAAGAATTCTACTTTGTGGTCGTGGTCTTCATCGTATACAGTAATTTCTAATATCGAACTGATATCCTTTACTGTACTAAAAGAATAAACAGACATTTAGTTAAGTATCTCTGGTAAGAGAACCAGAAATGGTATTTAATAAAATAAAGGATAGAAGAAAACGAACATAATTATATTTATTCGTAGGGGATTGTTTGTTTTTATTTCATTCATATATACTTTCTACATATTTATAGGGTTAGGTACGTCGGAACGCACAATCAATCCTCAGGTTCCTTAAGGTCATTACGACAGTGCGATGAATAAAAGGTTATGTCACTTAAATTGTAATCTTAGATTCAACGGATTAAAGCTTTAGGGAATTCAGATTTAAACTTTACCAAAGATCATAGAGAGGCCCGTGTCCAGCAGTAGCTTATGAAAGCTTGTTGATGATGATGATGAAAGATCATAAATAACGTGTACTTCAAGTTACATTTATGGTTGTCAATGAATTATATCAGGTTTTAAATGTTCATAGGCTAAGAACTTAGAATGAATAAGGCTTAGAATGACGGACTTTTAATCAAGTAAACGGTAAAACTCTAATTTCAAAAGAAGTCGTTCCTAACTAAATTTTTATTACTTTCAAAACCAGATTAGGCATTATGTATAGTAATGTTGCAACTTCTAAATAACAACGATAAATTTACTTAAATATCATTTGGTGAAGACGCATCGACATATGGAGTAACTACTATTCCTGCATCCCGCTATGAAAAATTTCCTGCCTATTGGTATAAATACAATTTCTCAAAGGTCAACAGCTGCCTAGAGGATCCCGCCTTTGTGTTGGAAGTACAAAACACTTTTTCCTACACAGTGTATTGTACCTATACTGAAGTACGACTTTGAAATAAGATTGTAATTTCACTAACACTAAACACGTGGCATAAATTTCTTACGACCTATTAATCTCTGCCGCAAACTGCCTTCGGAATATTCCGTACGAAGCTCGACGGGTGCTACTATCAAACTGAGTGTGACTGCAATTTCAGACTTAGTCTAGACTGTAAACTAAATGCAGACCGTCGTAAGCAGCAGTTTGAAACTTTGTCATTCACTTGAAATGCCACTCATATTGAGCGACGGCAGAATGAAAGGATTGCTTTATAAAACAGCATTACCAAATTATTTATTTATTGAACACTTCCTGTATGAGCGATGAATTGTATAACAATCAATAATTTAAATCAAACTATGAGAAGGCCAATTCAAAACACTTACAAAGTAAATATCTTCATCCAGTTCGGTGTCAAAGTTTTATACTCGGTGTGGGTCTGAAGTCTTGCATTCCCTAGCTCAAGAACGCAGAAGGGGTCGGATTTACCCCCTAAGTCTGCTGCTGCAAGTCCTTTAGCACCATAGACCTTAACACAAAGCCAACCTACGCCTGCAGATTGTTCGTTGAGGAGATACCACGTCTAGGATAGAGACAAATAGGTAAATTAAGTGTCATAAACAAATATAGCTACACACACACTTGATGTGAGTACACCAACAAACTACAACATTTTAAGTTCCCTCCGATGAAGAATCTAGGCTTGGACTCAGAAAAAACAAATCAGACAGACTTGTTTGTCCAGCCCTTACCTAACTGCTGAGCCAATAGCCTGAGCTAAAGCTGAGTCCAATTTGATTTCGAGGATTCCTGACATGTTGAATGATGACAGATCTATGATATATGTATTTTATAATAATGTACAGGATCAGTCTGGTAATCGCAGTACAGGTTCTTGTTTGTCGGCCGTGTGTAAGGTGTGTCACATGTTGTTTTTAATATATTAATAGCCTAGTTGAAATTTAACATAGAATTGGAAAATACATTTTATCATTTATACATTGCTACATTTATATACTGTTAAAATATTAGTTTTGGACTTTCAACGTCGGCATGAGCACGGATATGCCTCTTTGTATAACCAAGAAAGATTGGCAAAAAGTTTTGCAAACATTATTGAGAACTCTCAGCTACTTTTGCTTTTCATGAATTTTCGCATCGTTATAAATCTAGCAAAGTTAAGAAGATGCCTAATCTTCTTAACTTTAGGACCCTGGTAACAGCTGAGGTTAACAACGACAGGTAGAAGATATGTGAGGAGAACGAGACGCGGAGATAAATCATGAATAAATGACACCGGCTACTATTGTGTTCGCATTAAAAAATTTAGAATTAAGAATTTTATTACTAAAATAAAATCGTTTATTCTGCAAATAGTCCATAAGAACACTTTTACAACTCATTTTTTTATAGATTAGATGACTTCTGCCATTCCTAACTGGACTAGCCGTGTGAAGAAAGAACGAAACAAACTCAGGGATTAACGTCTCTTTTAAAGGCCAGACAATCTTTTTCATGTGCAAATACATTCATCTTTCAGTAAAAAACTGCATGCTCGTAATAATTTACATAATTTTGATTATAAATATAATAAATTGCGTATTGAATATAAATTGGTTTAAATTTTGTGCTAACTATTGTAAGAAAACAATTGTGGTTTAAGAATGTAGTATATTTTGCCCCTATTTTAATAAAATAAATACGAGTTTCCGATGTGGCGACAATAACTGCATTGTTGCTCCGTTACTCGCCTAGGTTACCCAATTGTAATAAATTAAAATTGATGTCAAAAACTTTAGGAATAATACCGTAATAATAATAATAATAGGACCGTAATGACAAAACGATGTCGACCACAACCAGAGCTACTGTAACCACAAATATTTATTGAGTTATTTAAAAATTAATAAAAAAAATATTGACTTCAACATTTGCAAAATTGTAGAGGAATTCTTTAAATCGCTTGTAAAACTTACATATCGCCTCTCAATGATCTCCAAATCTCTAGGGTTTTCTTTGTAACTGCTCAGATCAGTGATAGTCTCCGATTGGGTCGTACCACTAATAGTTAGCAAAAGAAATATTTGTCCGTTTCCATCTTCTAAGTCTTTCCACATGTTGTGAGTTTTTTCTCTTTCTAACTGCGATAAGTCTATGGAACATCTGAAAATGAATCATAGTATAGATTCTGGTATATATGCACTAATGAATCAAGTTGTGATAATCATCGTCAGATATATTTATATAATCTGTTTAAATACCAAACTCAATACAATTTTCTTGTTCAGAACTACGCTATGCTAAACTTTAAACTTTACTTGATTAAAAAAATAAGGTATGATTCAAGGATAATACAGATTAATTTAAAAATTAAACATAATAAAAGTGAAAAATAAAATGGCGGAAATGCACGTCTCTTAAATATTTTGATTTACACAGATAACTAAATGATATTTGCTTTCTGTTTTAGTTTTGTATATAAAAAGTTTAGCGGTGGTACTGCTTTATTACGCAGAAGTATTTCATAAAAAAATGTATATTATGAATACATTTAGCCGTTAGTAAAGTTATTAGTTAGGCATTATTTTTGTAAAAAATCTTACCTTCCTAGAAAATCATCTTTGGTTTGTTTGTCCTTATCCCACACAGTGACTTCAAGCACTTGCTCCTGGTCATCGTAGAGATGCAGGTCGAACTGTTCTAACCACGACGGATGCAATGATTTCCAAACAACTTTACTTTTATATTTTTCGTTGCCTAACCTGAAAAATAGACTGTCCGATGAACAAGTCTAGGAGTAATTACAATTGTTAAGTTTATTACGATTCTGCTTTGCCAAAGATCGTTGTTTCAATTCTGTATAATTAGATATATAGCTACTAACATAGACGTTAAGTACTACTAACACTAATGAGTCTAGTCACTCGACTACAGAATTGGAAATGAATGAAAAAAAACCACCGAGAACAAATAAAAGTGTGATGAGCACAATCATTTGTTTTGTGTCTAGGTGTAATTCATCTATAATATCTATGAAATTAGAAATATAAGAGTATTGTCATAAACATCACGAACATGTAACAAAATTCATTTAATCGCGCAATACCGGGAATCGCTTTAATTGCTGGGTGACACGGAATAGGTTTATACCAAAAGGAATAAGATCGAAAATTTGCATTGATATAATACATTACAGTGTTGTTTAACTCAATGCGAATTTGTATTTCTCAGAAGCGGTCAGTTCTCGTAGGTATTGGAGTCTGCTAGAATGATCCTTTACGAGTTGTATAAATGGCCTGTATTTATACAACTCGTCTTCGTCAATCAGTTTAGTTTAGTTCGAGCTACAGTGCGATAAACAACGAGCGGATTAGAAGTGTGACCCAGCGACTTCCGCGATCATTCTGGACTATTCTTAAGTGTTGTCGAACGTTTTTACGTGTAGTAATAATAAAGTCTCTTTAGTCGTCACAAGGTTTATTATTCCAAATCAACAAACCCTAACACGTAATAGTATGGTTATCAGTAGTCCTTAGCCTTATTGCAAGCTCTGCTTACTTTGGGATCAGACGCCCGTATAGGTGTATCATGTTATTCATCATCATCATCATCATCAACAGCCTTTAATAGTCCGCTGCTGGACTTAGGCCTCTCCTAAGAAAGGAGATTTTGGCCTACTATGTCACGCTGGCCAGACGGGTTGATATAGGGTTTGTTTCAAGTTCTCCTTTCTTTTGTAGTGCTATCGTCTTGCAAAGGTTGCTCTAAGTCAGCTCTTACACCCACGTGACACCCACGGGATGAACAGGTGACACTCTGTATTCTTAATCCATCACCTCACGGACGGTTAATTTATTATTATAATTAAACCGACCGAAACCTCGTTACCTCCCGGAACACGATGATTAAAGATAATCATATGGTTTGACTGACGTTTGTAGGTATACAACGAGGATTTCATAAACCTATGTATCACCGGCTTTAAAGAAGAATGATTCGATGGAATCGATTCTCGAGTAGAATCGAAATGTACACGTCTATTAAGACTAGAAACTTTGTGAAGATTTTGAACGTAATTAAAATTATAAGTGAGATTTACCTACCACTACTGCACTATATCGGTTTTACTAAAAGGTATGTTGGAACTTGTTTCTTATGAGTGATAGAAGTGAATGTAGTAGTACATAATAATCTATTTTTGTAGTTGAAAACAATCATCATATAAATACGATCTAAAAGAATCAAGTGTTTATTTTCAGCACTAATAATAATAATAATAATATGATATAGTGATAATAGACCGATTGGAGCGCCGGGCAATGATTGTTGACATTACCATTCCACATGACGACAATCTCTTGAAAGCTGAAAAAGATAAACAAGTGAAATATTTGGATTTAGCCCACGAGATTGTCGACATGTGGGATGTTGATTCGGCAATCGTTGTACCGATAGTCATATCGGCCCATGGATTAGTTGCTAAGAGCCTCGACCAACATCTTCAGAGGCTCGCGTTAGGCAGTTGGATTAAGGGTCTGATGCAGAAAGCAGTTCTTCTCGATACGGCACGTATTGTGAGGAAGTTTCTGTCTCTGGAGTCCTAACCACCGATATCTTGGTCTCTGTACCCGATACCGATGGGATACTATTTTTTATATTTTTAAATGTATTTTTTTTTGTTTTTGTATATAAATATATTTAAAAATGTAATTTATATGTATAAAGAATGAAATAAAGAAATAATAATAATATTTCTCACATCTCACACACGGCCGTCTGATCCCAAACTAGGCAGAGCCTGTACTATGGTAACCAGACTGCTGATAAACATACTTATATATTTCTACATACATACATACTATAGATAAATTACACCCAGGCACAGAACAAATTACCGTGCTCATCACACAATATTTGTCCTGGGTTAATCGAACCCACGACCTCCGGTTTAGCAGTCAGGGTCACTAACCACTAGACCAACAGGCCCGTCACAAATTATGGCAAGTGTAAATACTCACAGAGCAAGCTGTTTTGGCTGCTAATCGTAATTTATTACACGTTATTTTAGTAAGTAACTATGAATCACTGTACCGTTCTATGATGTCAGAGGGGAACATACTTCTAACCAAAGGCGAACAGTAATAAGAATGTAGGGTAATGTTTTATATGCTAAAATGCTGACACTATTGAGTACGGCTTCACTGTTAAGTTTGAAGGTCCTGTTGGTTTTCGAGTAGTTAGTGACCCGTAAGCTAGAGGTCGTGATTACACAGGACAATTTGTTTCTTTTGATTTTTTTCTTTTAAAGACAACTCTCGCATTAGGAATTTATATCCTGTGGGACTTTACAAACATACATGGAATGCACACAAAGATCACCCAGACTCAGAACAACAATTTGGGATCACACAAAGTAGTGTCCCATGGTGGGCTCGAACCCATAACACACAGCGCAGTAGGAAGCGGCATGGCTACCGCGTAAACCACTACGCCAAACCGAGTTTCGGTGTAATTTATCTATAATATGTAGGTATGTATTTAGAAAAACACAAGTACTCGTATGTGCATCTGGAGTCTGATTACTGTAGCACAGGCCTGCCTAGTTTGTGATCAGATGTGTGAAATGTGTCAGGGAATTATTATAATTATGTCTCTGTCCTGGGACCTGTTCATGGAGGATACAGGCGATACGGGTACGTGACCTTGACCTCTTTGAGCTACTCCAGTCTCAGCCTTGCAGTATTCAAGTCTCGGATGGGTAAAAAGGCTTAGTTATCGCGGGAACTTTACAAACATACATGAAACGGACACAAAGAACACCCAGACTAAGAACAAAAATTTATGGATCACACAAAATGTTTTCCCCTGTGGGGATCGAACCCACAACACTCAGCGCAGTGGAAAGCGGCGAGGTGACCGCTTTAACCACCACGCCATCCGTGTAGTCAATATATTATGTTGATCTGTTATTGTACAAAAAATCCACGCAAAGCTAGATCAAGTTATTCAAAACAAAGCATTCAAAACACATTGCAATTCTCTACCATGTGTTTTAGAACAAGGATAAACATGCTTGAATATTTTTTCTGTAACTACATATACATAGACATAGAAAAAACGAGATCTATTCAAATATAATTTAAAAAACACGATACTCTGCACTGACTGAGAATCAAATCTACGACCTCAAAAGTTGAAGTCAAAATCACTACCTCGCGCTACAATAGTCGTTCGTAAGTTTATGTTGAGTACCTATTCGTTAAAGATTTAAAGAAAATTCGAAAGAAAATTGAATCTCGTACTATGTGGAAAAAAAGGAACAGATTTAGTCTTACCTACCTAAACTTACAATAAGGATCGCTGGACCTGGTATCCAAGTCCATAGCAGGAAGATTTTTTGCTTCAACCAGCACGATGGTGACCACCGAACTCCATATCTGCGCCTTCAGTCGCTTGTTCACGTCGCTTAGTCGTGTGTTCTTTAGGAGATACTGTAAATAAATCTTAAGATGTAAAAGGCAGAATCAATAAACAAAACTAAATCTGAAAGATAGAGTTTAAAAATTGACACAAAATAAAAACATTTTGTACATAATTTATTTTAGAGTTATGTCTATTGTTAACAGTATAGCGGTGTTGTTAGGGCAATTTATATTAATTTAAATTCTTCAGAATGTTACAAATGAAGTTTCTCAATTATAGAGATGTTAAGGCAAGACACAGATCCACACACAGACGTCAAATTAAAAGTATCCCTCAATGAGCTATTATCTATTTGAATTTAGTTTACGTTGTATTACATAATCCAGTGTAATACTGTAAATATATTGTAGAAACGTTGAAATAATTGTAAATCGTACCTCAACTGTATATCACACAAACTTTTCAATCGATTGCGCTCTCAAACGTTGTTGTACTATGGAACAATTTATGTACTCTTAGTTATCTTTGTAAAAGTTACATTGTGGAGTTTCATGAAGTAAAAAAGCTGAAGAGTTTATAGTTTGTCCGTTTAAATGGACTGGAGCGACCGGAGTGATACCAGAGTCTCACACTACACACGTACTACTATGGTGAAACGACTCTTGTTGGCCTCTAAGATAAAAAAAAATTGTATCATGTACAAAAAGATTTTTAATTTAAGTTTGCTATTATAAGTAGTACCAGTATGCATTTTAAATATATTATTTTATATTATTTATCTAGAACTTTGCATGTTATGGAAACTAAAATTCACCATGAGTGCATTTTGGTTTCCATAACATGCAAGGGGTCGCCATAGAGTACATTACAACCACTCAGCTGCGATTCTTCAACATTCTTAATATATTAAAAATTATTATTATTATTATTAAATTATTATTATTAATTATTATTTCTTATTATTATTTCTTAATATATTAAGTCTTCTCGAGTTTTCTAAAGGAATAAAACTTCCGAATTGCTTTATTCAAATGTGCTGGCGGCGTGAAAATAAAATGTTTTACTAAATATTTGTTTATACTGAGGTAATTTGCCATTCAAACCAGTGTGTTTATGAGTAACAAAAATATGTGAGCATCTTAAGAAAAACAAAGATGCTGAATAAGAAAAAGGATAAAATCAATGAAGACATTGTTTACGTTAAGGAATAAGTAGGGTGGACAAGTAAATTTAAATGTTAGTGTGAGTGCTATAAAGTTGGGATTTGCTTACACTGGCCATAAAACAATCCTAACGTATCTATCGATACTTTGAAACTAGAAAACATTATCTCGCTTCTGATAGAACAACCTTGGGAGCTTACGGACTGACTATCTCGCATCTCGCGCGAGACAGTTAATATTGACGTTAGAAAACTGATATTTGTGGATTATGCGGTTCCTCGAAATATTTATATTAGTCGCTTTTGGATATTGGAAGTAATTAGGAGGCGTTTTTCGAAGCCATCGTGGCTAAATAAAGATGCGATTTAGAATTCGTTCTGTGTCTGTATGTAAATTATCTGTAATATTTATGTCTTTATGAATATATAAGTACGAGTTTCTTCATCATCATCATCTCAGCCGAAAGTCGTCCACTGCTGGACATAGGCCTCCCCCAAGGAACTCCTCAACAACCGGTCCAACGGCTTCCCGCGACCTTCACCAGGTCGTCGGACCACCTTGTACCTTCAGTACGTTATTATAGTAGTCATTGCGATCGCCAACCCGCATGCCAAGTACGAGTGGCGATTATGGCAAGTACGAGACTATTTATTAGAAAATATAATAATTATTTAGTACGCTTCTGTCTATCCTCTCGGGGATAAAATACGTGATTTGGTATACTTACTTTACATACCTACCTAATGAAAATAATATAGATTACCATATATTTAAAAAAAGTATCAAGTTATTATAAAAATGTTGTACCAACCTATAAACAATGAAACAGATATTATTTAAATAACGAGGTTATACCTTTTTCTCCTTCGTTACCCAATAATTTTGTTTTGTTTATTAGGAATGACTAGCATTATACGAGTAGAAGCTAAATAAATAGAGCGATAATTTTCCTACCTACATCGCAGTTCAATTATGACCAATAGTTGAATAAATTACGATCCAATTTGTGGAGTTACAAGGTTCTTATTTGTGCATGTTTTATTCTCACAACAAGGACCATTAACTATTATTTGTACAATACATTCATCTACCAGTAATGTGAAGACAGAAAACGTCTACAAAAGATGAGTTATGCGGGGCATAGTACATATTTGCTTTTACTACAGAATGTTTATGTTGAATCGAATATAATATTTGAGATATTGCTATTTTTGAACTACGATTATAATTTTAGAACGTAAATAATTGATTGATTGGTTATCTATTTATTTTACAACTATCATTTCGATACAAACAATAAATGTCTAAACTTCTGGAAACGGAGGAAACGCGTACAGAGGCATAGTTTAACTAGTCTAACGATAGCTTTTAGTGCTTGTACATTATGACAAAAAGTTATTAACCAATTTTATACTATAAATTTATTTTAAAGACATAGTTATTTTAAGATCTCATGTTAGATAGACGATGGCTCGACTCGGGCAACCGAGCGCCGGGCACGCCGTCATCGCGGCGGTAAGACCCGTTATGGAGGATTGGCTCGAGAGGCGTCACGGGACCCTCTCATACCGACTGACGCAGGTGATCACTGGGAAAGGATGTTTCGGGGATCACCTGTGTCTGATCCGCAAGGAGCCAACGCCTGAGTGCCACCACTGCGATGGCCAGACCGTGGACACGGCTCTCCACACGCTGGCAGAGTGCCCGGCGTGGGTAGAGCAGAGGCGAGACCTCGTGTCGGCCATCGGAGTGGGAGTTCTCTCGCTCGATAGCCTGATTGCAGCTATCATGCGGAGCGAGAGCGCGTGGAACTCTGCCGTCTCCTTCTGCGAGCAAGTTATGCTCGCGAAGGAGACGGCGGAGCGGGACCGGGAGAGGTTTAGAACTCTCCCGGCCCGCCAGGCCCGGGAACGGGCCAGGTACCGCAGGTGACTCGGGCGCCGGAGGTCGCAGAACGACCTCCGTCCTTCATAAGCGCAAGCCTGGGGGTGACAGGTGAGGCCATCCGTCACCCAGGAAGAAGCAGGCCGGCGTGGCGGCGAGCGCGTTGCGAAGCGCGCTCGCTTCAGAGGGAACATGGAGTTCCCACAAGGGGGGGGGGCGTCTACTTGTTGTAGATGGCCCGAGGTATGTCGGGGCACCATGGACTTCCTTTCTAGGGTATACCTGGTTCCCCGGCTATTAGTACCCGAGACGGCGTGCGGTTTTAGTCGGTTCGAGTCCGACATGCCACCGATAGGTGGTATCCGAGGGGATTTCCTCACGGAAAAAAAAAACAAAAAAAAGGTAGACGATGGCTCCGTGTCCATGAATTTCGTTATGACTAACATAATACCAGCGCTGCTTCTTATGAAGTAGCACAATGGTGCTAATTCTGTTGTTCGATAACTCTCTAAACTAAACTAAAAATCACAAAAAAAAAATTGTCCTGTCAAATATTACGTTTTCAGAATAGGAAACGTTGTTTGACAGAACTAAACAAATTTTTAGTGATTTTTAGTTTAGTTTAGTTGAGTTAACGACCATTTTTGGCTGAAACACAGTCACATTTATCATAGGCTAAACAATATTTGTTATTTGTCTCCGTTGGAATGAATTTGTTCTTTATTTATTTCTATGTTTTTTTCTTGTTTGTTGGAACTTGTTTGGTGATATCGAAAACTTGTAGACCGTATGAAGAAATATGTCAGCCCGCAAAAGGGATGCCAAACTAATTACGTGACTTAAACTTGTGGAATGTGAGCGCGTCTTACGATGTTCGTGTCATGTTGGCGTTTATAAAGAAGAAAATTAGGATTTATAAATATTCAATCTCCACATGATAAAATCTAACACACTTAAGAGCCGGTGATCTTGGAATGTAATTCTTAACCTGCCCACTGATACTGCTCGGATGGCGTAGTGGTTTAAGCAGTTGCCGCGCCGCTTCCTACTACGCTTAGTGTTGTGGGTCCGATCCCCACATGGAACGACACTTTGTGTGATCCACAAATTGTTATTCTGAGTCTGGGTGTTCTTTGAGTCCGTTTCATGTATGTGTATAAAGTCCCCAGCGACACAGGATATATTACCTACGCGGGAGTCGTCTTTAAAAAAGAAACAAAAGAAAAATAAGAAAAACACAAAGTTATGAGTTCCTTCTCACTTATTGTATTCTGGATGATTCTGTTCTGCATTCCAGTTGGTCGGCGATTCAAATCGGATGAACTATTTTATGTGGCCTTTAAGTACGTGCAGTTCGTGTAAATAATCAATTCAATATCACAAGGATGTACTTACAAATTGAAATAAAGTAATAATGTTCATACGAAAGAATTCAATATTTCGGACTTTTCTAGCTTTTGCCGCATTAACGTCGATTTTGTCAATCAATTTCCCTGGAATAAGGAAAGCGGACGGAGCGGAGGTTACGTCTGGAATAGCACGTAGGTTACGTGATCCAACATATCTGATTAGCCGTTCTGGCTTGATTGAGTAACTAACATCCATCGAATCTTTAATTGTTATTTGTATAGTAACTTTGACTGCACAGTGGTTTAAGCGGTTACTTTGCCGCTTGTTGCTGAACTGAGTGTTGTGGGCTCGATCCTCTCATGGGATAACACTTTGTATGATTTGTATGGTCTGGGCGTTCTTTGTGTCCGTTCGATGATATTATTGAAGTCCCCAGCGACACGGGACATATTTCTAGTACGGAAGATGTCTTTAAAAAAAGAGTAAAACTAGTACCAGCAGTTTGGCCGGTTAATGTCAGTTTAATAGTGGTTTTTCTAATCACAGAACGGACATACGGATATGTGACTTCGATAAGTATTCATACAAAAATCTTAATTTTAGTAATGCTTACGAAATATTTTTAAAACAATTGGATGGTAAAGACAGCAATTGTAAAATTTTTTAGAGGGACAAAAGGCCCTCTGAAGACAGACATACAGCCCTTTCAGACATACAATGAGTTGTATTTACTGTAAGTCTAAGGTAAAATAACATATATTGATTATCAGTTAGCTTCCTAGATTTTTTATTTTTATAATATTTATAATTTCACCTACCGAATACGAGATAAAGTCATTTATTTGTAAGCTTCTCTCAAGGAGTAAATCCTTCGAATACATTATGATAGTCAGTTAATTAAACAATTCCCCTTTAACGGCAGTGTGATTAAAATTCATAATTTACGATTTGTCATAATTCACAATTTAGGTTTTTACAGTGAATCAATCCAGGCAATTAAACCCTCATCAAGGCGGAGTCGCGAAATGGTTATATACAGAAGAAATGAGTCGTTGCTTTTATTATAAAACTGTCTATAGCCACTAATATCTCTTTCCTAACTTGTTTACTTTAGTAATTAGTTAAATAAAATTAAAACGTAGGAGGCAATATTGATGTTTTATCAGGGCGAGCGAAGCGAGCCTTAATACTATCTCACAATCTATGCATTTTTGTGGTACACTTCAGTGAGAAACTCATTCACTCATTCACACATTCACTTCATTAGTCAAATCAAATAGCGCGCGCTTTCCCGGTTTCCTGCTACATTCTTCCGTCCCATTTAACGAAATCACTGCCACAGATTGCAGAAAAGTGAGAGGAAAGATGTTACACATGAAAACAAGGTTTTAAGCAAATGTTCTCTTTTTGAATTTCCTGTTCTATCTACTGTTAATGTGGTGTTAGTGTTGTTATAACTACAAGCATACATACTTCATGAGTGACAATAAAATCGTCAACGTCAATTCATCACTTGTACGCGGCTTAACTTATAATTTTTATTATCTGTAACAATGTGATGTAATAAATATATAGCAGTGTCGGTATTTCCCTACTAATTGACCTTTTCGAAGAAACAAAATGTAACGACGTCGCAATGTAGGTTACAAATAAATCGATGAAAGCTAATGACTGCACTCTTCAATCATCATATACAATTATTTGTTTTTGTTTTATTTTTATTTTTTAGAAGACAACTCTAGTACTAGGAATATATCCTGTGTCGCGGGGGACTTTACAAACATACATAAAACGGTCACAAAGGACACCCAGACTCAGAACAACCATTTGTGATCACAATGTGGGGATCGGTGACCGCTTAAACCACTACGCCACCCGTGCAGTCTCAATTAATTCAGTCTCAGTCAGTTAATGAGCTATTACAGCCTAGTACTATATAGAGATAGCTTATAATTTTATCTCTTATTTAATTCTGTAAATGAAAACTGACTTTAAAAAGGGGGAAGTTCTATGTTCGCCTGTAAGTCTATTGACCGATATTAAGTAACTTAAAATTTGTTGTAATATTATTAGAAATTTTCACTTGAAGATTTTGTTTGACTTCCATAATAATCTCTAATGTTTTAAGCCGTAAATGTAAATTTAAATACACTTTAAATTGTTATTTCATTTACTTTTCCATTATGTAATCCGAGTAAAGCAGAATATATTACCCACTTTTTATTTAAAATACACAAACACATACATATACAACCTTGAATTAAAAGTACAATACCCTATGTATCCTGTCGCTTTGACTTTTTAGTTTAGGGAAGCGGTTGCCAATTTTCTCTATGAGGTCAGAACACGCGAGCAGAGGAGACTCCAGATGAATTCCTGTAGCTCCTGGGGGTAGACTGCCGGCTCTGGGGCGTTGAAGAATAGTCTCCCTATAGTTAAATAAACATAGTCTCAGAAAAATCATAAAAGGTTCTTAATTTTAAAGATTATCTGATAGAAAATAGGTCATTATAACCTAGCATTAAGAGGCGTCTTTCTAACTTCAGGGTAGTAATCAAGTAGCCATCTCTCTCATAGTACCCTACATAATTATAGATTAATTTATTTACTTAGCCGACAGATAATATTAGCATAAGCCGTGACTGCGTGACTGCTAGGACTCGCTGGCTTCAGCTCTAGTCACGGCTCAAGACATTAAAGATATAGTATCATTTTTAAGATATGTGCAGCCAATTAAATGTAGGTAATAATTTAAATAGACCCTCTAATAAGAGCTAGTAATTTCTTATGATGCATTAAAGAAATTAAACATTAGAAAATAAGTCGTAAACAAAGATTAGGTTGACATCATAAGAAGTTGTAGGGAAACATAAAAGAAGAACATAAAGTTTTTGAACTAAGTCAAAAAGTATATGGACCATGTAATGGATGTTATTAAATAGAATTAATCCTTAGTATGGTTTTTACTTCAATTTAATCATCAACAGCCTTTAATAGTCCACTGCTGGACATGGGCCTCTTCTTAGAAATGAGCTTTTGGCCTTCTATAGCACGCTGGCCAAACGGGTTGGTACTTCACTTTACTTAATTTACATTTAATCAGATATTTTGCGTATTAAAATGGCTCTGAGAAAAACTTTTCTTTAAATTTAAATATTTTTGGTGATTGTTAATTGCAAGCCCTAGTGTTCGTATAGTTATTCTTGCTGTATCTATGTTATCAAAACTAGTACTTTGGGAATCTAAAGTAACTGATTAAGTAAAGATCTAACTTTGATATATCAATTGCCATCGACTACAAATTAAATCTCAAGAATGCCTTAGAAAATTATCTGACAAATTAAAATTGACTTAAATCTTGCTTATTAGGGCATTACGAATTTCTATAGCAGTATATAATAAACTTACCTTCCAAATTCGTCTTTTCCTAAAGATAAACAAGACGAACAGGATTCACTGGAGGTGTAAAAATCCGTGTCATTGTTATTCACCAGATCACACACTGAACGACTTTTATGCAGTCCAATCGCATTCCCTGGTTCAATTTTTATAAAGTGTTTGCAGATTTCTCTAGGATCTAGGCAATCAGTCGGCTCATCAATTACAAATGATGGAATGCTTAAATTATCCCATTCCTTCGTTTTCTCACCTGCTTCAGAATTATCTTCGACGGAGCTTCTATCATCTGATAAGTGAGAAATGAACTTAGAAATTTTGGACCGCTCAAATTTAATCTGCATGCGATCTTGAAATTCATCCACGCGGTCTTGTAATGTCTCTTGAATTTTTGTAAAATGTCTTTTCATTCTGTCTATTTTCTTTTCCGTCATTTTGTTTTTGATATTGAAACAACACTAATCACCTGTTATTAATTTTGTGGCAAATTTCATACGCACTATGGTATAAAACCAACATCATTCGCGGGAATCGAATATTTAACTGACTAAATTCTAGAAAACCGATTAGATGGATTTATTTACTGTAAAATTTCCAATGAAAGCATTTAGTTACTTTGAAATTATACGTAATACTGGAAGGAGTACGGGCGTTTTTAGGAGAAAAACAATGTAATTTAAACAAATGTATATTTTTGGATACAGATGTTGGCAAATTATCTGGTAACGATACACAACTCATGGTAGATGAAATATAAATAACATACACAATGAAAATTTATTAGAACTAGGGATCGTCTGGTGTTTGAAGTTCAATCATAATTACAACAATACCTTGTCGATTAGAACTTTAAAGTTTATTTATGAAAAAGATTAATTCGCAAAATTCATTTAAATTAAAAGTCGCGATTGTTAATTGTGATCAATTTTCATAGACTTCAATTGAATATTAGTTTTAAATTATTCTCAAGATCGTGACACTGATTGCTTTTATGTGTTATTTTATTAAATAATCATCTGTAGTGCTACTCTATCAATAATTACATAATTTGTTTAAATAATTATGCTTACAATAAGTAACTTTGCGCATGCTAATTAAGTTATAACTTTTACGCTCAGTTTTTAAAAAAAAAACTATTTTTTATGAAGGCTATACCCAGGTAAAGAATTGAAGATATGAACCAGGTATCCGGTTATCCGGTCTCAAAGTTGGCGGGATATTGCTGCTTTTCGTTTCATCTCTATTTTAACCGGTCGAGAACACAACGAAACCATGACCCCCTTTCTTTGAAGGAGTAAAAGATATGAATCATTTATATTCTCTTACTACTCCAATAAAATATGTTATGTTAATATATTTACAACATTACCCAGATATAAAAACGGCCAATGTTTTCATCCGAAATATTTTAGTAATCTTGGTTTATTTAACTCTTAAACAAAGCTCTCAAAGCTTAAATTGATGGCTGATGGATTAATTTTATAAACATTTCAGGTATTAATAAAACGAATGTTTAAATTAAAAGGAAGTTATGTAAATTAATAAATTGTTTATGAATCGAACCCACGACCTCTAGCTAAGCAGTCCGGGTCACTAACCACTAGACCAACAGGCCCGTTTCACTCTGTTCGAGGCGGTCCTTTTGTGCCAATTATTTACTCATTCTTTTGCTTGCCTCGGTGGTGCAATGGTAGCGTATGCGACAGCTGTGCTGAGGTCTCGGGTTTGATCGAATGTTTGTATGATCTGCAAATATTTGTTTCAGAGTTTGGGTGTTTTAAAAAAGTATATATTAAGTATTCTATCAGTCAATTTAGCTTTCTTAATACAAGCTCTGCTAAGTTTGGAACTAGCGTGTCAGATGTCTGAAAATATTACGATATATATTATATTCGTATTACTTTATTCTTTTTTTTTTATAGATAGATTACAGTAATTTTAAATATCGATTGGTAAGAAACTGAGCCTTCACTAGTTAATGTGTCTGTCTGCTTGTTTTAGCTTGTACTGACAACTGTTATGTTGATACCTTAACCATCATGACATCACCTTGATAATTTACGCAGTTTAACAGACTGGAACGGTTTCAAGGCTACACAGACGGGCGAAATGTCAAAGAAACAAAATTGCAAACAGTTTTGTATATACAATGAAAATATTACGCTACACTGTTACCATAACATGGCATGACCAATATAGATACTGTGTAATCGTAATACTGTGTTGGTAATCATAATGTGAAGTGTGAAACTGTATGATACTCGTAGATCTATCTTTGGCCTCTGCGATACAAGCTTCGAGCTTAGTGCTGTGGCCGCTGTAAACCTTATTGTATCACATACGAGTACCTTTTTGAAATAAATTTATTCTTATTCTAAAATAAAGTTTGACTTTAACGGATCTAAATTAATACAGAATAGTATGCGTAAGAAAAAAAATACGCCAAAATACAATCAAAAATATCGATTTTAATGCGCCTAAATAACGACGAATTGTACAGGTACTTTACTATAAATAAATAAATACTATAAATAGGTACTATAAATAATAGGTCTTTACCTATGAAATTGCCGTTTTGTATGCCATAAGTGAAAGTACTTATTTTTTCAAACTTTTATATTTCTGTTATTCGAAGTAATCACCCATGCAATCGACGCATCTTTGCCAACGCATTGGCAGTTTATTGATGCCCTTCTTGTAAAAATCAGCTTTACGGGAGCCAACAAACTCTTCAAAGGCATTTTGTACTGCCTCTCGGGAATTGAATTTTTTACCCACTAAAAAGTTGTCTAAATTTTGGAAAAAGTAATAGTCGGTAGGTGCAAGGTCTGGTGAGTATGGCGGATGAGGGAGAGTTGAAAATTAAGGTAAATTTTGGTAGTTACAAGTTTTCGTGAAAATCGAAATTCGCCCATATCTTTTTATCGTGTTGACTCAGGACCTTGATTATTATACACCTAATAGGGACCATAGACCTCAGTATCTGGTATAAATTTCAATTTGCTAGGTCTACCCGTTCCTGAGAAAATCGGTGGTGACAGACGGACAGACAGACAGACGTACAGACGGACAAAAAAGTGATCTTATAAGGGTTCCTTTTTTGCCTTTTGAGGTACGGAACCCTTAAAAACAATGTAATCAATTTACGAAGCATACTTCAGAAGTCAAGTATGCTTCGTAAATTGATTAGGTATATTGTTTACATACATTGAACATACACGAACATATACGAACATATACGAAACTAAATAAAGGTACTCGTAAGGTTTGCTTATTTAATAGGCCGTTTACACGCATGGCGAGCTTCGGCAAGTGTTCACAAACACAAGCGGGTGTTTGGCTCGGCTCGCGTATGCTCGTCGTCGATCGGGTTTTCAGGTCGGGTTTTGAACACAGATCAAAGGAAGCTCGCGGATATTGGAATTGTGTCGGTAATACTGTTCGGTGAAACATCTTTTGTTGTTACTCCGTGTAAGAATATTTAAAATACGCGATAATCTGTTCGGGAGTGTCGTTAAATTCTGTAATTAAAATATAGAATTGCAATCCTACACAAAGACAATAGTGTATCAGTGCGGAATTTCCTAGAAATCTAGACTACAAATTTAAAAATCTTCTCCAAGTACCGCCGTAAATAAATCAACAGTGCAGCCCGAGATAACGCGTAAGTGCCACGCTTAGCACGGCGCTTATGACTTTCTTCTCGCGAGGTTGCCATCTACACATTGCCGACTCTCAACTACGGGCCTTTATTAGTGTGCGATTCGTGTGCAGTTTTTATTTACAATAATTCTATTACCTTACATATATAAAATTGTAACAGAACATTGATACAGGAATTCAATAAGTGCACACTTTGTTGCTACTGGATTTAAGTAAATAAAATAAATACAATGCCCCTTAGTCACTCGCCACCTTCAACGCCAGTCGCGCCTGAACCTAGCACATTAGCACCCGGACACAAAGGCACTGACGACGGAACCGTTAAATATCTTGCCCAACCGAATGACTCAGATACTCCTTCTGAACAGAGTGGTAACAGCAATATTAGTGTACGTCGGAAACGCAGACGTGAACTAGACGACGATTACGGTCAATTAAAAGCTGAAATGACAAGATTATTTACGACATTATCGGCTACTGTTACTCAAAATTTTAAAGATCTGAAGAAACAAAATGATGAATTAAAAGACAGCCTACAAATGATGTCAGACAAATATGATTCGGTCCTTAAATCTCTTACAAATCTGGAAGAAGAAAAGGAACGAGATAAAAAACTGATTCTAAAATTGGAAGAAAAGGTGGAAACTCTTGAACGTAAAAATAAATCGACCAGCCTAGAAATACGTAACGTTCCCGCCGTGTTATATGATAACAAAAAAATTGAGACTAAAGAAGAAATCGGAGGCATTATTAAATCATTGGCTAAAGCTGTAGAGGTTGAGCTACAAGACTCTGATATTAGAGATGTTTATAGAATAACCACTAATAAAGAAAACATAAAACCTATCATGGTTGAACTCAATAGCGTCTTGAAAAAGGAAAAGATATTGCAAGGAGTCAAAAATCTAAACAAGAAAAAGGCTAACGAAGATAAATTGAATACCGGCAATCTCAAACTTCTGGGGCCTCCTAGGCCTGTGTATGTGTCGGAAGCATTGACATTTAGAGCTCAGAAAATATATTATTTAGCCAGACAGTTCGCTCAAGACAACGGTTACTCTTATTGCTGGACTTCAAGAGGCTTGGTTTATTTACGTAAAGCTGAAGGAGAACCACCAGTTCGAATTGAAAAAGAATCTGATCTTAGCAAACTTGTGAAAAAGAAGTGACTATATAGTGTGAGAATTTACATTGTAATACTTAGATTTATTTTAATTTTTTGTTTAACCCTCTTGCTATGTACATTGCATTACATACATCATATGTCGCAATTGGCTAACTACACAACACACAAACTCTTAGTACCTGCACATACTCACAACGTACACACATCCAGTCATTGTTATCACGCACACAACACACAAACATTTAATATTATTTTACATATTACAGCAAGTTCTTGTTCAAAGCAACCACAGTACTACTGTAAAGGCCCACTAGTTTTACATGGTCACATTCGATACGCTTAATATTAGTCATTTAAATAATTTAGATAGTTTTAAGATATCTGAATCCTATAGAAGAGAGATTAGATCTAGATTTCTAGGAAATTCCGCACTGATACACTATTGTCTTTGTGTAGGATTGCAATTCTATATTTTAATTACAGAACTTAACGACACTCCCGAACAGATTATCGCGTATTTTAAATATTCTTACACGGAGTAACAACAAAAGATGTTTCACCGAACAGTATTACCGACACAATTCCAATATCCGCGAGCTTCCTTTGATCTGTGTTCAAAACCCGACCTGAAAACCCGATCGACGA